CCCTGAGTCCAATAGCACACCCTGATTGCTGTCAGTCACCACCGCCAACACCCTTGGAGTCGTTGACGTTGTTCGCATTGTCTTCAAAAGACTGGCAACTTCACCCATGACTGAGGGCTGAACTTGTTGTTGTACTTGAGCAACTTGAGGCTGCTGTTGTACCTGAGCAACTTGAGGTTGCTGTTGTATCTGGGCAACTTGAGGTTGCTGTTGTATCTGGGCAACTTGAGGTTGCTGTTGTATCTGGGCAACTTGAGGCTGTGAATCCTTTGAAGACTGATCCACTCCCCCGACCGGCTTGTCCCGGTCCTTGCCTTTGCCCTTGTCGTTCTTGCCATCCTTTGTCTTTCCCTTGCCTTTAGGGCTTCCTTTGGAGCTTTTGTCACCTGGACTTGTCATAAGCTTGTCACCAGCCGTGCAGTCTTTTGCAATGTGTTCCAAACTGGAACACTTCCAACATCTCTTCTCCTTGTCGTTGAGGTTGTTCCACTCGTGGGCATAGGTGCATTTGTCACCCTTGAGACATCCATAAGGTTTACCCCAATGCTTGCATGCTCCAGCTCCTGCACCATAACCGCTGCCTTCTGCATTGTTGCCATAGCCTTTCTTACCAGGAGATCCCTTCTTGCCACCACCCTTGTCGCCAGCAGCATTGACCACGTTGATCTTGGGGTTGCCAGAAGTCGGACTTGCCTTTGTCATTGTTCCATGATGCAAGTGATCCGCTTCGGCAATCAACATCTGCAGATAGTTCTCCGCTGTGAGCTGTGTAGGCGCCACATCCACCATATGGGTCATGCGGAAGTTGCTGATGCGAAAGTTCGCTTGATGCTCCTTCGCAATCACTGTCCGCATCACTTCAGAAAGTGCGCTCACCTGCAGCAAGGGATCTGGAACCTGTAGTCCAAGTTCACGAGCTCGCAGGAGTTGACGTCGCCATTGGCGTAGCATCTCACCAGCTTCAGCTGCAGATTTGGCTGCTGTGGTTTGAGTCAAGTTGTTGAGGATGGTGCTTTTCTCGTTGAGACCACCAGGTTGGTACAGCTTCAAAATGCGAAACGCCAACTGCACGCATGTCATCTCTCGCAAAAGAGATTACTTCTTGTTTGACCGTCTGTGGCACTGCAGCTAACAGCATTGACAGCACGCGAGACTCCAACCTGACATACTTGTTCTCCACTTGAAGGTCAGGTTGCACAGCCATGCGATCCATTGGACCCGCTGTCAGCCATGTTGCATAGGCATCTTGAGCTCGTTGTACTAATCCGGTCCACCACACTCTTGCGCCTTCTGAGACATCTGAGATCAGCGGCATCAACTCACTTAACCAATCTCCTGCACGAAGAGCAGCTTGAGGCTCTGACACGTCCTTCAAAATTGGCAGTGTAATTGGCACATTTCTCAGCACCTCAGAAGCTTCGCCATCAGGACCTTTTGCTTGTGGTTGAGGTTGTTGCCATTGCAGTGGCACTGAACCATATTGCATTGGTGCTGCATACATTGGTACACCAGAAGGTCCAACTCCATGTCCTTGAGGCGGTTGTGGTGGTGGTTGCGGAACATAACCAAAATCCGCTGGTGGACCACCATGTCTGTGCACCGGTTGCTCCCAGTACTCACCTGTCAACCTTGGTCTTTCGCCATGCATCATCCTGACCTCTCTGTCCAACCATGCAAAGCGATCTGCTCCAGGTTGAAGATGATGCTGCTGTTGTGGTTGTTGATCCACTGGAGTCCAAAAATCCTCCAAACCATCAAAACCTGTTCCACCACCCACGTGCTCATCAACTGCAAATGGGTCAAACTGCCATGGTGGAAGTTCTGGAAGATCTGCTACCTCCCGTGGTGGTTGTCCCGGCGGAACTTGAGTTCCTCCAGGTGTTGTTCTTGGTGACAGCGAGTAGTACTGAGGTCGGCGCGGTGGTGTCCTTGGTGGTTCCACGCTTGAACTCTTCTTCTTGAGCTCCTTCTGCAACTCCTCATTCTTCTTTTCAAACTCATCACGCTGGCGTTGCAAGTCCTCAGCATACTTCTTCATCTCTTCCTTTTGTTTCTCCATCTCAAGCTTCTGTCTGTGAAGCTCTTCAACCATTGATTGCTCCAAAGCCCGCTTGAGCTCATCACGCTCATCTCTTCCTTGTTGATTGACATCGTCCACAAAGGTAGTTGTGCTACAACCTTGTACTCCACCTTGTGGTTGCCGACTTGCCTCACGTGGCATCTGTCGTCTCATCTCATACTGTTGCACTCCCATTGGAACTCTTTCCAAGGGTGATCCATCATCTTGCCGATGACCTCGTCTTTGAGATTGATCTCGCAGACCACTTGGTACTGTTCGATGACCTTGAACTTGACGTCGTTCAGGTCCATAACCATGACTGACTCCTCGGTGGCGTCCAGTCTCTTGCACATTTCCTTCAGACCTTGAGGGTCCATGACGGCTGACTCCTCGATGGTGTCCAGCCTCTTGCACATTAACTTCAGACCTTGAGGGTCCACGGCTGACTCCTCGATGGTGTCCAGCCTCTTGCATGATGTCAGACCTTTGAACTGGTATCTCACCTCCCAGTCCTCCAGTCTTCCCACCTTGTCTTGCAACCCCATGAGATGGTATCTCACCTCCTATCCCATTGGGCTGCACAACTCTTCCTTGACCATGCCCCTTGCCAGAACGTTGCACTTCTCCAGCAAGTAGCCCTGCTGCGACACCTCGATGGTGCCCAACTTGTTCAACACCTTGAGGGTGTTCATCTTGATCGACACCTTGAGGGTGCCTAACTTGATCGACACCTTGAGGGTGCCTAACTTGATCGACACCTTGAGGGTGCCTAACTTGCTCGACACCTTGAGGGTGTCCACATTGTTCGACACCTTGAGGGTGTCCAGCACGTTGACCTTGTCCAGCATCTTGAGGATACCGAAGGTCCACACCTTGAGAGTGTGCAAATTGATCGACACCTTGAGGGTGTCCTGCATGTTGACCTTGTCCAACATCTTGAGGATGTCGAAGGTCCACACCTTGAGGGTGTACTTCACGGCGACCTTGTCCAGCATCTTGAGGATACCGAAGGCCTTGACCTTGTCCAGCATCTTGAGGATACCGAAGGTCTTCATCATCATTTGATGGCATAGCCCCTTGAGTCTGCAAGGCCACACCTCGTCTTGTACTCCAACTTGACGGAGCACTCATTCGTCCCATTGCTAGCGGCTCCAACTCTCGCGACGCGTCTGCATCTTCTATCTCCGGAAGGTCCTCCTTGACTGAGACCTCTTCCCTTGGCGTCCACATCGGCTGCTCCATGGCCAACTGACGTGCTTCTCGTAGGTGTTCTTGCTGAACCCCTGCTGACCACCACGGATTCGGCTCGGTGCCTAAGTCCAACAGGTCAGTGCTCACATCCAGTTCTTGCCGTAAAGCCCCTCCATGTTCGCCTCGTAGTAGAGCTCGTCCTCCACCTTGACCATCACTGCCATTGGGTAGAGCTCTTTCATCTCCACGCCGAAGGTCTCTGCCGTCATGTCCAGCTCGTTCACCTCCATGCCCTGGTCGGCCTTCTTGATCCAGCCGTAGACCTCGAGGTCCACCTCTACCAGTTGGCACCGAACTCGCTCTAGACCACGACATGGCAAACGCCCCTTCAGCTGAGCGTTGGGCTCATAACCTGTGCAAGGCAGAGCAGCGCGCCTTTTGATCCTAAAAGAGCCTCCAGTCGTCACACTGATAAGAACAGATACTTCACGTGTCAAGCAGTGATAAGACCAGATCCTACACATACCCTATTGTACATGCATGCACATCAACCCTTTTGCACATCTAATTGCCTATCCATCTATCTATCTGTCTATCTACCTACCTATCTATCTATCTATCCATCCGTCTATCTATCTGTGGAGTGTAGTTGTAGTTGTAGTGTTGTGGAGTGTAGTTGCGTAGTTGTAGTTGTAGTGTTGTGGAGTGTAGTTGCGTAGTTGCAGTTGTAGTGTTGTGGAGTGTAGTGTAATGTAATGTAGTGTAGTGTAATTTAGTGTAGTGGAGTGTAGTGGAGTGTAGTGGCGTGTAGTGTAGTGTAATGTAGTGTAGTGTAGTGCAATTTTAGTAGTGCAATGGAGTGTAGTGTAATTAATGTAGTGTAGTGGAGTGTAGTTGTGTAGTTGCAGTTGTAGTGTTGTGGAGTGTAGTGTAGTGTAATGTAGTGTAGTGTAGTGTAGTGGAGCGTCGTGTAGTGTAATGCAGTGTAGTGTAGTGAAGCGAAGCGACATCTGAACCTCCAAAAGTGGTCCGAACCCCTAGTGCTTTTAACATTTTGACTTCGAAATGTGCTTCGCGCCGCAACGGCGTGCACTTTTTCGACATCTCAACTTCCAAAAGTGGTCCGAACGTGGTGTGTTTTGTACATTTTGACTTCGAAGCACATCGCGCCAGAACGGCGGGCACTTTTTCGATATCTCAACTGCCAAAAGTGGTCCGGACCTGGTGAGCTTTGTACATTTTGACTTGGAAATGTGCTTCGCACCACAACGGCGTGCAATTGTTCATCTCTCATCTGGCCAGCTAGCTCCGCACCCGCCGCTTTAGCGAGCCTACTTTTAGACCCTCCGGAGCCACAAATCATTGGAAAAACACAGTGAATCGCGACTTTCCTACCTTTCGCGCATCTTACTCTTTCTCTTCTACTCTTCTTTCTTCTAATCTTTCTCTTCTCTCTGCCTCTTCCCTGCTCTGCTTTTCATCTGTCCATATTGTCGGAAGTTTGACTTCTAAACTTCCTTCGATAATCCCATTGAAATAACCAGTTATAACTAATAATTACAAGGTGGTGCCCCCTAGATAGCTAAGTTGGTTTATAACTCCAATAACTATGGTTTGTGTTGGTGATATATCTATAGCTAATGGGATTATAAACCAACTTACATAACTTGGGGGGCACCACCTTGTAATAGTTATAACTGCAGGACATTTTGGACTTCCCAAACTCTTCGGCCGTTGATCTCCGCGGCGCAGTTGTCGATCCGCCAAGGATTTCAACTTCCGCAGGGCTTGGACGCTCTGGCGACACAGGAGCACCTTGCCCAACACGGCCATGGGAAAAATAGGAAACATCTAGAACTTGTCATCAACATGTGGTGAAAAGCATGAAACAGGTATGAAATATGGTTGAAATATGGTTTAACAACATGTTGATTGGATAGGATTCAATATATTATATCATAATGTATATCTGGAATTTTCAGCGATGTAAAACCAACACACATTGGGATACGATGGACAGAACAAATGACACTTAATTATGGCAAACAAATCGCGAGAAACCCATAGAAACCCTGAAACCCTGTATTTTTCTTGAGTTCCAAATCATGGAAAGACACATCATGATGGGTCTCACTTTGTGATTTTTTTCTGTGTTTACAACCATGTCTGCTCGTTAGGCCATGAACTTTGATCCTATACTTTAGAAGGGAAAATAATCCCAAACCTGGTAATACAACAGCAACGAGAACAATGACAGTTTAACCAGGAAAAATAGTCTAAATTAGCGCACATGAATTTGTGTTGGTCTACTTGGTTTGTTCAACAAACATTGGACAATAATGACAGTTCTTCCCAGAAAAAATGGTTTAATGAATACCATGAGCAACAACGCATGTTTTAGTAGCAAAAATGGAGCGTTCACCCACAATGATTTCAACAAACCATTTGTTTGACCAACAAAAAGGATGAATTGCCAACGTACTACGGTCAGAAAAATATGTTCTGGTTTTACTTTGTTTCTAAATTGAATCCTGCCAGAGATGAGGCCAATCGTTCTTTCTTTGGGGACATAAGTTTTTCACACATCTCTAAAACCATGTAATGTAGGTGTATATATATATATATATATGCATGTGTTATATATAAAATATTATATCATATCATATCATATCATATTATATTAAATTATATGAAATATTATATTCAATATCATATTATATTATATATTATATTCAATATTATATTATATTATATATTATATTATATTATGTTATATTATGTTATATATATATATATTCAATCCTACATATAAATATATATGTGTGTGTATTATATATACATATGTATATATGTATTATATATAAATATGTATACGGTAACTACATTTAAATATAAGAACATGTATTTTAGACTAATTACCTCCGGGTAGGTTTTCCTTGGCCTGTCCGGCCATTTAAACATACGGAAAACTCAATTCGTTTCAGCATACGGTAACTACATTTAAATATACGAACTGGTATTTTATACTACCTCCTGGGCCTTGTCGTTACCGTTTGTGTGTAGTTCGTGAGGGATATCCTCCAGTGACAAAGCATGAAAATCCACCATTTCTAGAAGTGAAAGCCATGGATTTTCATAGTTCGGGGCCAGTTTACTGGGGGGGGCGTTTCTCATGGCCCTCTGAACGGACTACCAAAACTGCTTCGAAACGCGCGTTTCTCACAAGGAAGTATATAACCAACAAAACATGAACTTTTTGCTAACATGAATGGACATCTAAGCAACAACAATGGGCAACCAACAAAAAAAGAAAATTGGCGAACGAAAATATGGATAGAAGTAATCAACAGAAAATGCAATATGACGCAAAAACATTGTTTGTCGCAAAACACCACAACTTCACACCGGAGAATATGATTTTTCCTGGCAAAATTCACCATGTGTTCTCGGTTCAATCAGTTCAATCCCCTAGATGTTATAAGTTATATCAACTTAATGGTTGATGATTTACCATGATTTGCCATGGATTTACCCAGCTTTTACCATGCCACTTCCCTATCCCATGATGGAACCATCATTATGAACCGTTATCATATTTGTTGTCCATCAATTTCAATAACCATGTCAAAACAGTATTATATAAAACTTAAAACTTATAACAATCATTGTTAACCGTTAACATATTTGTTATCCATCAATTTCAAAAACCACAATAATATTATTATATATAACCATCAACTTATTTGATATTACACAAACTCTAACCCCATTTCCCGACATCGCCACGGGCCGAGCCACGCGTGCGGAGAAGCGCATGGCCAGCAGCGCACAGGCAGAGAGGTCACACAACATGGGGACCTGGATCAAAATGTGATGAGGATATGATGGGATATGAGAATCCAATAATGGTTTATATCACCATTATTTAACCATATTACAAGGATATGAGGGTATGATGGGATATGATAACCAATAATGGATGATAATGAGGATATGATGGGATATAAGGATCAACATATTATAATGTTTAGGATATAATGGTTAATAGCTGGTTAATATACCATATTATGATGGTTAGGATATCATGGTTTATAGCTGATTAATCAGGAATCCATTTATGTTATGGGTTCCGTCAATGGATGATCATCGAGAAACCTTGCTAATGAAAATAAACCCATGGGACTTGACAAAACACTTCATCATATTAGGATGGTTGGTGGTTTCAACCCCTCTGAAAAATATGAAAGTCAGTTGGGATTATTCTTCCCAATATATGGACAAAATAAAAGTCATGTTCCAAACCACCAACCAGTACTGGTTGATAGCTGGTTAATCAGGATGTAGTGGGAAATCTTTGGGTTACTTGGAATATAATGGGATATTGATCTGGGATATTACCTTCCAGTCAGACGTGGCTAGGGAATCGTCTATAGATTGAGGTTTCTAGCGGGGAAAAGCATCGAATTAAAAGAATATGTTCCAGCCACGTTTGACACCGGAGGGTATGTGGCTTCATCACCGCATTTATAATCATATCGTACCCACTTCGGAACGTTGTGAATCCCTTGCCACTAATATAAAAAACACCTCCCTAGAAACCCTTCTTTATGCTGGGGATTTACTTGGGACACATAAAGGAGACCGTCAGTAATAAGGATGAGATTATAGGGGATACCTGCCATGAACCCAACAGTCATTGGAATTATATATACCCTCTGGTAAACTAACAGTTTGCTGTTGTACCATTTATAGCTGATTTACCTATTAAATCCTATTAAAAAGGTGGATCTTCCCATCGTTTTTTTGTATGTTTACCAGAGGGTATATATATAACTGGCATAACTATGCGGATATCACCTTGAACTAACCACAAGTTGTCATGTCATGTCGAGGAATGATGGACATATTATATGGATTTATATGGGATATCACATGAGACCTTGGGGAAGTGAAAATAAAAACATGCGGGAAACTTGACCGCCTGGGACTAACTAAAAAATAGCAACTATTGATGATGGTTGAATTTCTCTTCTTTATCCTGGGTATAGTGTGGGAAACATGTTTTTTTTGGTTGTCGGGAAAATCATGATCTGATGGGATGTTTACATTGTTTTTTTTGTCATATGACGTGAGATTGTTCAAAGCCGAACACATGATGGATGCAATCCACATGATTGGAATACCCTCTGGTAATTTGTTGCAGCCATGGTCATTTTTATAGTTGATTTCCCTATTAAAATGGTGATGTTCCATGGTTATGTTAGTTTACCAGAGGGTAATGTTCTTGTGGAAGGGGAAACCCTTCAACACGGGTCATGTAAAACCTGGTTGACATGTTCGATGTCAGTCTTCGAATTGAACTCAATTCCCCTAATCCTGTCAAGCTTTCGATGGGTGTTATATGGTAACTAATGAAACAATCTGGGATGTTGACATGTTGACTCATAATGATTCAATCGTCAAGGAAAGGGGGTTAGTGTGATTCATTGGGAAATTCTCTCAATGTATGTATAATGTATATGTATACATAATATAAATATACAGATACACGGGTTATCATGAAATAAACAAAGAGTTTCTGAGGTTCCCCTCTGGTAAGCTAACAGTTCGCTATTGAAGCCATGGCCCAGTCGAAATAGTTTTCCGTTTTCCCATTAATAGCATGGTGGTTATCTTTCCAGTTCGTTTTTTGTTAACGTTTACCAGGCCGGGTAACAACTTCCCAAATACACAATTTTCCTTTGCTCAAAAGGGGATCTACTGGGATCCACGGGAAGATCAACCTTTTTGGGAGTGGGATTAATGATTGACTGGGACTGGATACGCCCAAATTAATCCTACTGGTTGGATGGCCCAGAATATCTTAGAATATATGACTTTCATTTTAAACTACACTTGGAATATATGTTTTTTCAAATTAAAACTCTCCACTTTGAATTAACTTCTTACACATATCATATGGGTCTATGATTCATATACATCCAACCATTACTATGAGGTGGTTGGGAAACTCTTAGTAGCTCCTTGGCTCCCAATTTGGTAAGGAATATGGATACCCCTAGCCCCTTAGCTCTCTCCTAACCACTGGATGGATTATTAATGCATATACAACCATGATCAATCATACCACCATATACCACCAGAAAAAACCAGAGAGCTCTGGAATATATATATATATATGAAAAGATCATGGTTAGCAGAGTGGGATAAACAGTGGGATAAACTCGCGTTTTCATATTATTCACAAACCATGAGGACATAATGACATACATCACCAGATGGCGCATGGGTGTCGGCAACGAAACTTCGACCACGAGCCAAATTTGTTGTACATATCTGCACACTTCAACCAGTGGCCCATGGTAACAAAAACAACAAACCGGGGAGGATCAATCACTACCCATGAGAAATTGACGTCTAAATTGCAATTTCTCAAGTACAACTGGGAAACTGAGGCCTTACAAACCTCGAACGTTAACACTTCAGTCAGTAGAATTCTTGGGTGTTAAATGGCCAGACATGGCCAATCATGGCCGATTAGGACCTGCGGTATGTCATTGTTACCAATTGAAGGTTGGCAGATCCAAACATCTGTAGTCCCTATTGCGCACGCAAAGTATGCTACATGCGTTAACGTGGAAAGCTATGTTAGGCTCTCGAAACAAAGCTGCCAAAGCAGCCGAAACCAGAACCATCTCTTTTCGTTCAGAACCTTCTAAGCCCTCAGAGTTCAGAGTGAACAGCATCTTAACCATCAATTGATGTTGACCACAATGTTGGCAAGGATTTATGTTGACCGGCCCTAATTTGTTAATTTGGAGGTCGCAAAAAATAGCATGCTATTTCTCACCATGCGTGATTCCTTCAAAAAAGTTAAAGCATGCTATACGATCTCAACAGTCATTAAATGCCATTACCCTCTGGTAATTTAACATGGCTATTGAAAATGGCCACTTATAGTGGAGTTACCCATTGAAAATGGTGATTTTGCATAGTTATGTTAGTTTACCAGAGGGTGAGTGTTCTTTGACTGTTCAACGGAGAAGACCTCCGTACTAATCAACCAGGGATCACTTAAATTGCTGCGTAAATTGTACAAGGAGGCATACCCAAAATTGGCAAGTTGAATGTGGAAGACATTCCAAAATATAGAACCAATATGATACTTGGCTTTCTCTCAAAAATTGGGGATTTTCATTGGGAGCATTTTGGGCGAGATTTTGGCTACCAGGCCCTCAGCCCCCGCATTCGGCATGACGGCACCTTCATGGAGGGCCTCAAGTGTGGCAATATCTCCTCAATGCCACCTGACAACTGGTGGAAAGTGCAGTTTATGTTCCCTCCTGTAAACTAAAGTAATGTTTGGGAATGATTAAAGAGATGGTACCCTATTGTGAGAACTTTCTTGCTCCTAATTCAGTCACATGCTAATTGTTGGGGGGGAACTCTATTGTGAGATTTTTTCAATTTTCTTCATTTTTTATTTTTTATTTTTGATTTTTTTCAATTATTTTTTATTTTTTTTATTTTATTTTTTAAAAAATTATTTTTTCAATTTTAGATTTTTCCAGATTTTTTCCAAATAATTAGATGCCTTATTAAACCCTTATTTAAAAACAGCGCTCAGACAATTTTTCAAGGGGGTACCTCATGAGTGGCTCAGTTACTCAATAATATAATTGTTTGGATGGTACTCTATTGTGAGCACCAACTTTTGGGAGTGAAAAAAAAAACAAAACCCTTTCTCCACATTTCTTTGGGTAAAGCTGGTGCCTTTTACTTTAGAAAGCCATATTTATGTTAAAGCTTAAAAATGCAAGGTTTTCCAAATAATTAGATGCCTTATTAAACCCTTATTAAAAAACAGCACTCAGACAATTTTTCAAGGGGGTACCTCATGAGTGGCTCAGTTACTCAATAATATAATTGTCTGGATGGTACTCTATTGTGAGCACCAACTTTTGGGAGTGAAAAAAAACAAAACCCTTTCTCCACCTTTCTTTGGGTAAAGCTGGTAATTACTTTTACTTTAGAAAGCCATATTTGTGCTAATTAAAAGTTTAAAATGCAAGGATTTCCAAATAATTAGATGCCTTATTAAACCCTTTTAAAAAAACAGCATCCAGACAATTTTTCAAAGGGGTACCTCATGAGTGGCTCAGTTACTCAATAATATAATTGTTTGGATGGTACTCTATTGTGAGCACCAACTTTTGGGAGTGAAAAAAAAACAAAACCCTTTCTCCACCTTTCTTTGGGTAAAGCTGGTCCTTTTACTTTAGAAAGCCATATTTATGTTAAAGCTTTAAAATGCAAGGTTTTCCAAGTAATTAGATGCCTTATTAAACCCTTATTAAAAAAGAGCATCCAAACAATTTTTCAAAGGGGTACCTCATGAGTGGCTCAGTTACTCAATAATATAATTGTTTGGATGGTACTCTATTGTGAGCACCAACTTTTGGGAGTGAAAAAAAAACAACAAAACCCTTTCTCCACCTTTCTTTGGGTAAAGCTGGTCCTTTCACTTTAGAAAGCCATATTTATGTTAAAGCTTTAAAATGCAAGGTTTTCCAAATAATTAGATGCCTTATTAAACCCTTATTAAAAAAACAGCACTCAGACAATTTTTCAAGGGGGTACCTCATGAGTGGCTCAGTTACTCAATAATATAATTGTTTGGATGGTACTCTATTGTGAGCACCAACTTTTGGGAGTGAAAAAAAAACAAAACCCTTTCTCCACCTTTCTTTGGGTAAAGCTGGTACTTTTACTTTAGAAAGCCATATTTGTGTTAAAGCTTTAAAAAGCAAGGTTTTCCAAATAATTAGATTCCTTATTAAACCCTTATTAAAAAAACAGCACTCAGACAATTTTTCAAGGGGGTACCTCATGAGTGGCTCAGTTACTCAATAATATAATTGTTTGGATGGTACTCTATTGTGAGCACCAACTTTTGGGGGTGAAAAAAAAACAAAACCCTTTCTCCACCTTTCTTTGGGTAAAGCTTGTCCTTTTACTTTATAAAGCCATATTTATGTTCAAGCTGTAAAATGCAAGGTTTCCCAAATAATTAGATGCCTTACCAAACCCTTATTGAAAAACAGCACCCAGACAATTTTTCAAGGGGATACCTCATGATTGGCTCAGTTACTCAATAATATAATTGTTTGGATGGTACTCTATTGTGAGCACCAACTTTTTGGAGTGAAAAAAAAAACAAAAACCCTTTCTCCACCTTTCTTTGGGTAAAGCTTGTCCTTTTACTTTATAATATTTGTGTTCAAGCTTTAAAATGCAAGGTTTTCCAAATAATTAGATGCCTTATTAAACCCTTATTAAAAAACAGCACTCAGACAATTTTTCAAGGGGGTACCTCATGAGTGGCTCAGTTACTCAATAATAAAATTGTCTGGATGGTACTCTATTGTGAGCACCAACTTTTGGGAGTGAAAAAAAATAAAAATAAATTAAAAGTAAATTAAAAGTAAATTGAAATCAATTGAAAGTAAATTGAAATCAATTGAAAGTAAATTAAAAGTAAATTGAAATCAATTGAAAGTAAATTGAAATCAATTGAAAGTAAATTAAAAGTAAATTGAAATCAATTGAAAGTAAATTGAAATCAATTGAAAGTAAATTGATTGAAAGTAAATTGAAATAAATTGAAAGTAAATTGAAATCAATTGAAAGTAAATTGAAATCAATTGAAAGTAAATTAAAAGTAACTTGAAAGTAAATTGAAAGTAAATTGGAATCAATTGAAAGTAAATTAAAAGTAAATTGAAATCAATTGAAAGTAAATTAATTAATTAAAAGTAAATTGAAATCAATTGAAAGTAAATTGAAATCAATTGAAAGTAAATTGAAATCCTTTCTTAATTTGATTGACCAAAAAAATGTTGAGGGGGGGCAAAAAAAAGTGCGAGTTATAGAGTATCCTCAAATTGTTTGGGGGGGGGGGCCCTCACACTAATCAGACGCAAACATTATATCATTTTCACCGTTTACCCCTTACCCCGGGGTTCTTTTAATGGGTTTGAAACCAAAGACCAAAGAAAATCGGTATATAACCATAGGTACGTAGCCATATATAGTTGTAAGGGCCCCATATCCCAACTTATGCAAGAGTATAACAGCTCAACTGCACCACCAAGTGCGACAATATGTTTGGTGCATAATTTAGCAGGAGTGGTTTCTCGCGATGTACGGTACCTGCTCTGTTGCACGTGGATGATGTACCTGCTCTGTTGCACGTGGAGCAGAAGACCGTGTGCTTGACTTCGCTTTGGAAGAACTTGTTCTCGTTCTCGCCGTGCAAGAACTGGCTCTTGTCTCCCTGTAGAAGAAAAGAACTTCTTGTCTTCGCTCGTGGGTGCTTTTATTGCTGTCGCAGCCCCCTTCTTCTCAGCCGTATATATATATAAATTTATATTTATATATTTAGTCACTGCACATGATAATTATTCCCATGAACTTGTCCAGTTCGGCCAATTGGGGATTATTCCACGTACTAAATGCCATCTTAGTTACCTTCTTAATGTACCCAAATCTATAGTATATATATATATATATCTCATGATTGAGCGAACTTGCTTGTATTTATTGAGTGAACATTTTACACTTGTCATCTGAAATGACAACCCAATCACTGGGAATACCAGGGACATCAATTGATTGTGTCACAATATATACATCATCTGATTGGTGGCCTCGATCCAATCAAGATTGAAGTCAAATAGTCAAGTAGACAATTACAATCTGTCATTTGAAACCGAAGGCATTTGACACCTGTGAAAGCACACTGATCACATAGTATATATGCGTTATGCATCAAAACAATATCCGTGCTGCAATCTCCACATTCTGCAAGGGTGAACATGTATCAAAACGCACTTGGAATCCCAAACACCTTCAGCAATTACACACTCTTACCACAACATCTAAGATAAAATGAGTACTTCCACTTGTGAATTCAGTAAATAATATGTCTGTTTTCAGGTTTACTAAAGTTTGATCCCACCATCCCAGAAGTCGTAAAAGTTTTGCCCCCCGTCCAGTCCTATGGTAGCAGCCCTTTGGGATGACTCACACACCGCACCTTCCACCAGCAACATCTGGAGAATGTCCTGACTAACCGTTGGACCGGTGGCGAACATCAGCATGTTCAACAAAATAAATAGGTAATTCATCTATAGGTCCGTTTTCCATAGCTTAGTTCAGTGCTCAAATCTCAAAAACAAACTTATATAATGTTGTAATATTTCACTCATCGTAGCTACCATGCCACAAACACACATATTAGTTGACCTGAGATGTTTACTTGTTGCATTTCGCCCAATGGGCTTTGGTGAGCCAGTTGGCCATATATATAGGAGGCAGTTCATCATTGCGTTTACCATTTTTATTTTCAGTCCCTAAATTTCATAAATGATAAGTCCCAAAGTCATAATTAATTAAGTCCCTAAGTAGAGGGAAGTTAGTGGTTTAAGCACCCACTTCCCAGCAGGGCTGAGCTAGTTGTGTTGGCACCAAAAAAGTGTTGGATGGAGGTTTAGACAAAAACACATGTAAAACACAGGAGTGCTTTTGATTGGAAATTTACCCGGCCTAAAAAACATACAAAAAACTATTGAAAATGACCATCTATAGTGGATTTTCCCATTGAACATGGTGATTTTCTATAGTTTCATTGGCAAACTTGATGTTTTTTTTCCGTCAATAGCTCACCCAAATCATGTGTGATGACAATCAACCATGAATCAGTCAAAAGAAATGCATGTCTCCTGGAAAGAAAACAACTCATTCTTGCTCATTGCAATACACCTTGCCACCCTGACTTTCAGCCCATCCGCCAAGAATGTGTGTCATCCCAAGCAATCATCCCAATTAAGAATGGTTTAAAAAACGTCAACAAATCATCCCAATGAAGTGTAAACAGTTTTGCTATGGAAAAATCATCGCTAAGCAATTGGGCACCGCTTCTACCACAAGGTGATGCCCCAGAGTTGTCTGGCGAACATCTCATCCAGCCATTCGACCATGACGACCAGAACTGACACCCGTTTTGCGGATGCCGAAATATTTTGAGAAACCCCAGAAACCACCAAGTGTGCCAAAGTCAGATAAATCCAACCAAAAAATGGGAGCTTCATGGTGGCAAGTTCCCGGGGCTAATTCGACATATCTATATACTCAATGGCGGTTCTACAAGGTGGTGCCCCCGTTCGATAGCGTTCAGTTGGTGCAAATAACTCCAATAACTATGGTTTTTGTGAGTGATATATCTACAGTTAATGGGATTATACAACCTATACATAGTGAAATTGGAATTGATAACGATAGTTAATGGGATTATAAACCAACCTATAAACCAACCTATAAACCAACAAACATAACTTGGGGGGCTTATAAGTCCAATAAGTAGGCTTTTTGTTGGTGATATATCGAACCAGTTTTCATGGGATTTTAAACCAACCGACATAACTTGGGGCACCACCTTCTGAGATGTGAACCAAACATTTCACCGGCCTGAAACTTCACCTCGAGCCAATCGCCGCTGAGGCGTCGCAAGCGCTCACAGACCGCCATGGGCTCCCCGCGCTCGGCGCGCGAAGTAGCGCGGGCGGAGCTGCCTGACCACGGCTGGGTAATTTGGGTGTTATGAAATTACAACATGATGATTGAAGTTAGAATAAGTTGGATAGGGCATTGCTATATACAGTATATATATATATGTATATATATATATGTATATATATGTATATATATATATGTATATAAATGTATATATATATATATGTATATATATATATGTATGAGTGTATGAGTGTATGAGTGTATGAGTGTATGTTTTTATGTATGTATGTATGTATGTATGTATGCATGGATGGATGGATGGATGGATGGATGGATGGATGGGTGTATGGATGTATGGATGTATGGATGTATGGATGGATGGATGGATGCATGCATGCATGCATGCATGCATGTATGCGGGGGTTGGGAACTTCGGGTTTTTGAGAATCTAGCCATCAAATATGGGGTGTAGCATGCTTTAACCATGAAAAATCCGGGGATACAGTATGAAGTGATAATTGATAGCTGATGGGTTTCTTGGATGATCTTGGATGGGGGTAACTAGCAATATGGCTAGCACATGATCCCAAAGAACTAACACATGAACTATGTAGTAATGCCCTAAAATGGTAATATGCTATATTATCAGGAAGCTATATTTAGCTCTTGATATATCCCTATGATCTGAATGAAATTCAAAACAGAAAGGCCCTGGCTCTGTCGGAGATCCTCAGAGGTCGATGGGTTGTCTGCAATGGTTCGACAAGAGCCGCCTGACATGAAACCGGCTGAAACCGGTTGTTAATCAGTCGGTGTCAGTGCAATAATCTTTTCTCTCCCTTTCTGACTCCTTGTTGCGCTTCTCGTGCATTGACATCGGTGGATGGACACTTCAGAGACAGCTGAGATAACAACTGCATCATTTCAGTGGCATCGCAGTGAGGCACGCGCTTATACTGTATGTATGCAAATAGTAGATTTAAATCTACCCTCTGGTGAATCTACAAAAAACTATATGGAAAGATCCACCATTTTTGATGGGAAAATCTACTATTTCTATGGCCATTTGCAATAGCTTTTTGTATGTTTACCAGAGGGTAGATGTTGAAACCCAGCCAAGCTTACATCTTCAAAACAAGAGATACGGTGGATGGTAGCGAAATCACCAGTTGAAAACGGGTGGTTACAACCATCCTATGAAATTTTCTTTGGATTTCAAGCATCCTTTTAGGTGAAGCAGGATTTCGCAACCATCCACAGTATGTAAAACCTTGCCCCATATCCGAATTTATCTATAATTTTGACATCAAACCCTAGGGATTCCAAGCGATTCCATGGTATGTCCATCTTCATGGCAAAACACAATAGCAAATAACAACCCCATGTTAATATATATATATATATTACAAAATATGAAAGTATGGATATTAATCAACAGATGCTGTAAATATCAATATCCAAATCAAATTTAACCAAAACAATAAAACTAATCAAAATAAATAAGGAAAAAGCAAATACTGCTAGTACACCATGGAATCATAGAGATAACAATTCAATCCAAAATATAACATGCCAACATTAAAAAAAAACAAAAACTAATCTGACACAGTGAATGCATTTTTCTGCATTTTTTTGGGGGGATTCCTGTGGATGCCTCAGGCTGCTTGTTCCGGCGTCGCACCTGCGCCGTTGGCCATCGCTTTGGCCGCCTCCATGGCTTCATACCTGGAGCCAGGCCGGCACGCCGCGCGCTTATGGGGGGGGGTCCTAAAATAGGGGTACCCATGGTGTATTCACTGTGTATATATGGTTTATATATGGTGACAAATGGTGATACCCTCTGGTAAACGTTTACATAACTATGAAAAATCACCATTTTTAATTGGAAAATCCACTATTTCTATGGCCATGTTCAATGGCTATGTTTGTTTACCAGAGGGCACCCTTAAATTAGACCATAATATCATAGATCATATCATTATTCAGAGATCATATGATAGCTATTCTTTAACCCTTATCTGAAGGATTCCAAGCCATGGGCGTACCATAAAATGGATAGTTTATAACGGAATTCCAATTAAATTGAATGATTGTCGGGTACCCCCATTTTAGGAAAGCTCCATATGTCTTCATCAAATGTGATGGCAAAACACTTTCGATCGTTTCTTTACCTTAATATTGTTTGCAGATTACAAGGCCCATGTGTACATTGTTACGCTGTCCATGCCGTGTAGAATATTCTACATAGATAGATATGGACAACATATGATTACCCAAATGGAAATGAGTGAACATGATGGACAAAAACCGTTTTTCCCATATACATCCCAAATTATTTAATATGATCTTCTTGTTGCAAGATGAATATATACTTGCTGGGTAAATCCCCATGCATTGTCCGTAAGATCAACTAAATCCTTATTTCTTGCTGGTTTGAACCCACAGTTTTCTCCTTCAATCACGATTTGCTGCTGCTAGCGCCAAAGTTTTGACCAAGCTGCATTGCTTTAGTGTCCTCCTGTAACATGCCTTGGCAGGGGCTCTTCTTTGCCAAGAGACGTGGGGATTTCATAGAATTGAATCGGTTGATGCGTGCCAAGTCATAGAGGGATTTCATAGAATTTCAATATTTCAACCAGGCAAACACGTGGATAAAATTCCAAACATGCGTATTTCACCACCACATGAAGTTCATGGTGCCTTGAAGCCATCAAATTTGAGCAATCTAAATCAATGAGCACGGACAAACGAATGGTTGTGTTATGAGCAAATCAACAGGAAATGGTGATTGAACTAACAATAAATATACACTAAATTGAGATGTAACCAACTAACTTAACATTTGGGACGAGCACGAAATATGGGTGTGAAAAACAACATTGAGTACATTGAGTACCCTTTCTCTAAGCACAAATTGCTACGCATTTAAGTAGAACCCTCGGATCTATTGTACCATAATTACAATATTGGTGGATGCCGGAAAAGGCTGGCTCCTGTTGGATGTACATGCCACTTGTTAAGAAAAGGATGTTTGACCCGAGCAAGATACATATTTTCATGATTTATGTTCACTTGCAATTCATGGAGTCACCAACATAATCATACATCACACCATGTTTAGTTCCGAATTCTTCTGACATATTGAAACTTAGATACATCGTAATCCTTGGAACACTGTGTCTTTTGGTTGGTTAATTACTGTATATCCCCATTCATGGGTCAAAACAGGATCATTGTTCCCTTCAGAACATTTTCCCAGGCAACTCATGACAAAGGATGCACAACCAACCACAACCATAAATAGCAGCATATGCATTAATAATCACATGAATATATATATATATATATCACAAATGCAAATATGTTTAGCATAAACAGCGATCTACAAGATCTGCATGCCTTTTTCCCAAGACCCATGGATTCGACCATCAATTGCTCAACTCCAACTGCTGATGGGAATCAAGGTGGTGCCCCCGTTCGATAGCGTTCAGTTATATAGCGCAAATAACCCCAATTAAACTAGGGTTTTTGTTGGTGATATATCGAACCAGTTTTCATGGGATTACAAACCAACAAACATAACTTGGGGGGCACCACCTTATGGGATGTGGTGGAAACAAGAAGGCTTGCATGACCTCCTTACCATTTTGCAGCTGCAAAGGTAGTCCATGTACACCAGCACTTCACATCCAGCCGCAGGATGAAGGCAATCAGGAGGCCCATTGACAAAGTCCGGTGCTTAACCCCAAAGCAGCGCATCTTGCAAAGTCTGCTTGGATGGGAGAGGATGGTCATCAAAGCTTCTTGTGCGAAATGATGACTGAACACCTCCCTCATCACATCCTCATGGGCACCAGTTTTTGACTTGTCAAATCCACCATCTTGCCCATCCATTCTCTTCAAAATGAAATAACCGTGCACAAATTCACATATGAATTTTAGCCATGGTTCGTGAGAGGATTCACACATATTTGGGGCCCAGCTATAGGCGGTGTTTAATCAGGGGGAAGGGAGGAAGGAACACCCACGCATAGATAAAATGCTTGATTAATGTTAGCAAATCTTAGTTCATGGGAAAATAACGATATGATCTTTACAAATTAATTACCCCCAACCCTGTAATACATGATTTTGCTTAAGGAACCCTACGCGGATTTGCTTAAGGAACCCTAAGCCCTCAACCCTTTTTCCCTATAGATGCACCATGTCCAGTGGATTTCCCCAGGAAAATTGTCCAATCATCAACTCAGCAAATCAACGAATACGATGTTTTTTGTTTGTCTCTAATTCCCGTATCATTGGCTATATGCCCATCATATCCCATAAATGCGCATCATTACACTAGACTACCCATTATAGTCATCCTGGAGTAGATAGAATGTGGAAATGTCAAAACACCACCACTAAAAGCGGGAAAAACATGGAATCCCTATGAAAATCCCATATTTCTATCTACTTCAGGATGAAAAACATATTCTGGTTGGTGGTTCTAACCATCTTGAAAAATATGAGTCAATGGGAAGGATTATCCCATATATTATGGAAACATGTCAGCTGTTCCAAACCACCAGCCAGTATTATATAGTATAATGTATACCTATGTATACCTTACAATTTTCATGATTACCATCTGGTCATTTAACATAGCCATGGAAAATCCCAATTTTTAATAGACAAACCATCTATTTCTATGGGCCATCGAAAAACCATGGCGAACTGTTGGTCATAACCAGAGGGTAACCACTATTAACCACTATTAACCACTATTAGCCGTGATTAACCAGATATTAACCAGATATTAACCATCATTACCCATCATTAACCATCATTAACCATCATGGCTGTGGATCACTGCCCTGTTCAAACCAAGAGGCTCTCCAGCGCTTGGATCAAACTTTCGGTCTCCGATTGCAGCGCTTCCAACTGATGCCGCTCCTGCGAGGGAAAATTCATGTTTCGCCGCTGAAAAGGTTTAATGGTGGTTGGTGGTTTAATGGTGATTTAATGGTGATTTAACGGTGATTTAATGGTGGTTTAATGGTGATTTAATGGTGGTTTAATGGTGATTTAATGGTGGTTTAATGGTGATTTAATGGGATTTATATAATGGGACTTAATGGCCTCTGGTAATTTAACGAAACTGGCTATAGCAATAGTTTTGTAATATGGATAATCTATGGTCAATATATGGATAATCTATGGTTTATAAGGTACCCTCTGGTAATTTAACATAGCTATTGAAAATGGCTGATTAACAGTTGATTTACCTATTCCAAAGAGTGATTTTACCAAATGGTATCTTACAAATATGTTGGCACTATTTAAGTGGGGATTTCTTGCTTTTTACTCTTCTATCTTTTGGGGTTTGCTATGAATTGAACCCAGTTAAAAATAAAAAACATAAGGACAAAACATATATTGTATATCAATTGCCTTGACTGGTGATTTTTCTGGCTAATCGCATTACCCGATCATACTAGATCCCGATAAACAGGATTCTGAAATTCAACGGGGAGTGCGCACCGCACTTTTCCCTGCCAACATGTGCTAAATTGATCACATATAACAAGGTCTACACCAGCTACTTCTAAACAAGTACTTGGCTAACATCAAAATTTTGTGGTTTCAAATGCCATTGTCGGAAAACCTCGAAAACGCAATAATGTTAAAACTTCAAAGAAATAACATAAAACATCCCTGAGTAGGATTCATCAACCCCATCAACCCCTTTTCCCACAATTGTCCCATCATTTCTGAAGCACTCCATGGGTTTTCCATCATTTTTCCCATGATTTCTCGCACGTCAAGGGCTGGCACACCTGCAGCACTTGTGAAGCAGTGCTGCTGGTGATGTTGCGGAAGGTCGCTTGTTGTAGCCTCCATGGGACAAACCGCGAGTTCTCCGTGGTGTGGTGAAGTGCCATTTGGTGGTGGCAGTGCAGGTGATTTCCCGATCATTGTCCCAAATAGATCATTACCCTCCGGTAAACTAACAGTTTGCTATTGGAAATGGCTCATTAACAGTTGATTTACCTATTAAAAATGGTGATTTACCATAGTTATGTTAGTTTACCAGAGGGTATGTTTTGTTTGTTAGCTATTAAATCATGATGACAATAGCTGCATAATGTATATTATACTGGACAGTGACATGTTGTGTAGTTATGCCGCGCAAATTTGCAAGAATTGGGGATATTCAGGGATATTACCGATACACAAGGGCGGGTTCAAATCAGGAACTGTAGGCGACTGATAAACAACATTTACTACACTATTACATCCCATCAATCTAGTTGGTGTATTTCATATATGCCCAAAAAATAGTTCATATATACTCTCTGGTAATCAAACATCGCAATGGAAAGTCCTGCATTTACAGATTACTTACTTTCCAAATTAAACATCAATTTACTTCCGGCTTTTTCCAGCCACGTGGCTGATTGCTAGAAGGCAAGTGAGATGCACATCAAAGTGGGGTATTTGGGGGATGCGTCACTATCAAAATATGGACATATGGGATACTTGGTATATCAACAACAGAGAATTGTGGTGTCAATATGATTCAATCCCACAATATAAGATGGTGTAGCCGTGTCACTTGGGAGAGTGAACGTTAAGAAACACCTTCAACACATGAACACTTCACCAATAACAAAGTTCAAAGCAAAAAAACATCAACAACCAGTCTGGAAAACTGAGGGGTGCATTCAACAACCGCAAAGCAGGGTGTGTGGATTGGTGATCCTGCTGTTTGGATGATTCCTCTTGCGCTGCGCAGTAGTGAAACACTCCTATCGATTACTGGGCAGTCTAACAGCAGAGGGGCATGTCTGAATCCCGATGGGAAATCTACATTGACATGCTTGTTGGCTATGCCACCCATGCCTGCTTGTTGGTAGAAACAAAGCAAGTTTGTCCCATGTGAATTCCCAAAGATCTTTATCGGTGGTTGGGAAACTCTTAGTAGCTCCTTGGCTCGCCATTCGGTAAGGAATATGGATACCTCTAGCCCCTTAGCTCTCTCCTAACCACTGGATGATGTTTTCATTCCACAAACCAAGCACAATCACCCACCCACACCAGGCAAACTTCCAAGAAACTCACCAAAGTTCTGAAAGTCTGCCTGGCGGCACAGGGCTTGGTTCAACCAAAAGCTGGTTCTTGCTCTGAAATTCTGAACACTCTCGAAACCTGTTGAAACATATCAAGATCCAAAGTCACAGTTGTTTAATGGTGGTGGTCCTGAGTCCTAATCATGGTTTATCCCTAACTCTGAATCAGTTAACGGATCACCGGTATTGCTGCTGTAAATATAAACACTATTGGTTATAGTTAATATTCTGATACTCGTCTTGTGAGATCCCCAATATCAATATCCCAGGTTGGTTATTATTGGATTAGTATCCCAAAACCATGGTTGAAAACAATCGACAAATCCGTGCCGGCCATGCCTATCTGGTTGGTGGTTTCAACCCCTCTGAAAAATATTAGTCAGTTGGGATTATCATTCCCAAAAAACCAAACCACCAACCAGCTATTCTCTACATATTTTGACATTGGTTACCTGGTTATAACCCCGGTTAGTTTTACCTAGAGTAAGTCGGGTCAGTCCAAGTCCAAGTCATTTACTGGGGTGAAACACCAGTCTATCCACCAAGTTTGCCTTTACCCCATTACTTCTGAATGTTATTTAAGTCCAGGTGTGTAATGTGTGTAAAACAATACCATAAAACCAACCCCCAAATCACCATTTTTGTAGGTGGTATGGTTACCATTCCCACTCATGGGTGGTTTCTGGCATTGTTTTACCCACATTAACAGTTTAGGTGTTGATGGTTGATGTTGATATGGGTTGCTACTTAACATTTTTTTTCATTTACTAACATCAACCAACAATTTTACATTGATTATGGCATTGTTTTACCCACTAAATCACAATTAAACACCATGAAATCACCATTTTACAACCCCTCAACGGCCCTCAACGCCGTCGCTGTCGCTGTCGGACCAGCGGACCCGCCGGCCTTCAAGCGTCGCAGCAACGCACGCCCCGAGGAGTTGGACGTCATGGGACTCTGCTCCGCCAGAAACTTCAACGCCGCCACGTCCTGCGCACCATGTGACGCGAACCATGGTTGCCAGGGTAAAACATGTGATCACCGTTTGACGCTTGTTGCGTCAAAGGAAAATATGAAACAAACAAACACACGAACAAACGAACGAACTAACGAACGAACGAACAAACAAATAAAGAAACACATGTTCATCAAACATGGTTTTTCAAAAACAAACATGTTTCTGCCATGGCACGTTCCAATTCATTATGCCACCAAAATGGGAAAACATCAAAAAAAATGAACATACAGAAAAACGTTGCACATTTGAATTGGACAAACACCAGAATCTGAAGCAACAACTGATTGACGATCAGACCGTCCTTGTCGACCGAGATATCAGCACTTCCCAAGACCCCTGGGCAAAAAACAAGAAAACATCAAACGGTGGTCGGAGAAAAACAGGACATGCACGTCCCTCGTTTCATTTCGTTTTCATACAGAATCGGCAAATTTCCAAGAACTTGTTAAAACATGAAAGTTTTTGGCGTGAGTTGAGACATCAGCTGCTTGTCAGGCTGCACATTCCCGCCAACCATATTCAATAGCGATACTTCCAACAAGGGGAAACACATGTATACACAATTTTTAAAGCCAGTATCCAACTGTGTGTTCTCATCGTGACCACACGTCACAAAATCAACTGCACTAACAGCACTTTTTCCACATACGTGTCTAAATTATTTTTGCTTCCGGGTACCCTGGGCCCAACAAAAAAACACTCGGGAACGTAATCACCAACAAAATAATTTGAGGTCACTTGTTTTAAATCCCAGACGAACGAACCATCGGCAATGATCTCCCAGACGGGTTGCCATGCACTGTTCATCGAATGCACTGAATCAAACCCAGTTACTTCATGTACAAAAGTCTATTCTGCGCCGAACTGCCCGGAAGGACATGATGCGGGTTAAATCCACCATTGGGATCTCAATAAATTGCACGTTATGGCCCCTTGAATTTTCTATGTGTACACGCCCACGCCAACCACCCACCATGACACAGCCAGCCAGTCACAATCCAAGGCACCATTCAAACCCAAAGACATGAATGGTTTTGATGCCAGTGCGGGCAGTTGCGTGAAGGCCAGCAGCGGCCAGTGACTCGGCTGTCGGGGCAAATCACTTGCTGAAATATTGATCCACTTCGCCCTGCGTTCCAACTGGGAGCACGCATCCACGTAATGCGCCAACAATGATGGCCTATTAGTTCGGCAAATGTAGATATAATGATATATGATATATGTAAATAGAATTATATAGATATATATATATATATATAGATAGATAGATATATATATATATAGACAGCCGTTTTTGGGATCGAAAAACTCGCAGATTCAAATGGCGCCTAATTTCAAGGTCGGCCTACCATTCCGCGGGTGTATATCATTTTTTTGCGACACATCGTTCTCTTCAGAACAATTATCTTCAGCATCTATGTGCAAACGTGAATTGTTCGGTTGTGTTCTGGCTTGAACGCAATTAATCTGCGGCGCGTCATCGATCGTTTTGGGTAGACAGACCCACCTTTTCCCACACATACAAACGTCAATGGTGGCAAATTGGTGAATTGCCAAGCATTTCATATAATAAACTTTGGAGGGCACTGGGAAACATCAACTCCGAACACTGCATGATTATATGCGATGAAAGGGTTCATTGAAATTCCCAAATTACATTGATAATTTCAAACGCTTGCAAAAATATCTCTGTTTGCACACGATGCATGCATGCCAATATATACGGGAATAATGTGCAAACACTGCTTGGCACATGTTTTGCAAACGGAAATATGCATTTAAATGCATTTACTATCATTTACTTGTCACTAGAGGAACCTGCTATAAATAGTGTCAGCAAGGTGCACAGTTCAAGTCCGTAAAAACTCTTCAAGGACATCAAGGGTTATAATGGCACTTCTTGATACAATGTCACAACTCTTTGCCTCTCACGGTCTCACATTCCAGAGGTGAAAAAAAGTAAAAAAGTACCCCTGCAACGCGGCTTTCGTTGAAAACACAATGAACCCGAGACGAATACCTGGCTTAAAGACCTGTATGCGGGAACTGCCTTGCTGGGTTGAGATGAGGGTTCTGTGGGCATTTCTTGTGATGGTGTGGGCCTCATGACCTTCAATACCTCTTCATAGTGACAAACGTAACAGAAGTACACGCTAGTGAGCGACATGAACACCAACAACATACCAGCCAGAAAATATAAAAAATGGTGAGTGATAAATAAATATTGCAAAATGAGCTCCATATGCTTGGTTCCTGGGATGGTTTTTGGCATTGGGTTTACCACATGAACTGCTGGCAGGGTGCGCTAATTCAAACAGTTTCTTCAACAACAGGCCGGGTTCAAGCGCAACTACGCAGGTCAAACATCAAACAGCATGGGAGCAAATCCAGCACTGAAAATAGACTATCAATCAGCATTCCATTGTTGAGACGGTTTGTCACAAAACCCTCCAGCAGATTCAGCAGACTGCCTGAAAATAGCATAATCTTCCAAACCACTATTTAAGAGGGTCTATGTTAGCTGAGGAAATGGCACCATTTTGGCAAGACAAATGCCACACAGAAACTAACACCAAAGGTTTACAGAGGGAACCTCCAACCATGAGTTACAACAGGGTTCAACAGGGTTGCTCCCAACACCCCAGCTGCACGGGAAAAGAACGGCTAGACAAAGCGATACAATCACCAGTGTTCTCCTCTTGTGGCTATCGACTTATAGTCAATGGGTTAAAGCAGCCCGTCTCATATGTTGTTCAGAAAGACCCAAGGCTGTGCACCAGGAAACCTTTGTCCGCAACACCGGCCAGTACGGAAGTGATTCAGCTCCACTTTGGCACGGCATTCAAACAAACAAACAAACTGTACGAGGATATGCGTCCTAGTAGGTACCAGCTGTCTATGGGATCAAGGCCCGTGACATCCACTCACCTATGGGATGAACACGGATGAAAATCCTATAGGTCCAACATTGCTGAAACGGTCAATGTAGTTACGAAGATCGTAACGCCAGAACTTCCAAATCGAAACCCTTGGTACGTGTGGCTTTTGCCGGAAATATCACTCGCTTTGGGAACCCATTTCTGAATACTTTATATAAGGGGGTGCGAGGGCATCGCGGAGCAGGAGGCAGCTTCCGACCAGCTGAAACAAATATATGGCAGTCATTCGTGGGTATCATCCCGAAAAAAACGCAATGTATTATTCCGATGAGGTAGCTGTCATGCCACGGGAAGTTATCGTCCCCACCCAAATTGTGGACATGTTCGTGGCCCCACACTGGAACATGAAAGTTGTCGCCTTCTTTTCAGTCGAATGTTTGGGACACCTTCGCCGCTGTGAAACAAACAAACAAATCCCAAAAGTACCATACTCGCACCTATGGCCTGATGTAAATACAACATGATGAAGCGAACAGTAGCAGTCCCAATCCAAGCCCTCATATCCGGGGAACATGCGGTTAAAGGATGTAATGGGTTTGCACACTCCCCAAATACCTAGAAACAAACACAAAAAACATCATTGCGTTTTTTCATGGATACTTGGAGGGTCCAAGTATGTTGAACACCACATGAACTTAACATTTTTTTGCATGATCTGGGTCGCTCAAAAAAGCGTGAGTCACCGAGGGGAAACCGAGGCACTCGTGCAATTCTTTGATGCAACCTTGCCAAATATTGCCCTCGTTTCCTGCATCAACGCCGACCAGGAAAATATATACAAACCATGAACACTACAATGATTTTGTATAGAAAAATGTCTGAACAGCAGAAAGAAAACAAACACATTTTTGGGCGGGTTGAAAATGGTATTCCTATGATTCGTTTGGCAATTGGATTTTTCTGACTTTGGCACACTGGGTAGCAACTGATATGTGACAGTCCCATTCATGTGGTAAACCCAATGCCACAAAACTACCATTTGGGGATGGCTGGAATCCCACCCAGGTGATGATTTGGGGATGGTTCATTATTGAGTTTCCCACATTACAAAACATTACTGCACACACAAAAATGTCAAAATCTTGTTGGAATTCAAAAAAATGGAATATCAGCGAGGAATGTTATATGGCATTTGGAAAGATATGTTTGTTTAACTATTGTTTCATGTTGATATTTTTCCCACAAGTAAAAAATCAGCTAACTAATGTTAACATTGAAAAATTGTTTGGCAGTTGGGAAAATAATATTTGTTTAATGTTGAAGTTTATGTCTAATTTCCCCCCAAGGAATTCCAACATCACCGATTGGCGCCTCCTCGCATGGATTCTGCTTGCCCTTGTCCAAGGCACCGAGTCCTCAACGGCAAGTGACCTTTGTGAAAATGTTGCCTGCAGGTGTCCCCCGGCAATATATTTATCTGTATATATGATATGTATATTAAAAAGCAGTATAGCATTCACAGCAAAGACTCAGGAGTAAATCTTTGGTAAAATACAGATACATTTGATTATTTTTCTTGGGGGTGCTATGTGTCAGCAAAATTCAACGATTTGTTTGCTGAGCACTCGTCGGGGGACATGCTGCAAAACTTTGCAGCAAGGTCAAAATAGACATTCATTTCTTAAATTTCAAATTGTCTCTACACATGACACAGCTGCACATCGAACATCAAAACTACTTTGACCGTCAAAAATCACCCGAGCATGGGTGTTTACATGCGTTTACCCCACAAACAATGCTGCTGTCACTCTTTGCTAACACTGTTCGGGGTCGTTTGGGTCTGTTGTGAAATATTTTGAAGGTCAAGCATGTTCAAAGACCTTCATCACCGGAACCATTGACGGGCCTGCAATCAAAGTCCCAGGTGTTGGATGGCAGACGGCGATCTCCAAAAGCACCTTGGCCAGCGGAGCGAAGAAATGGATGGGTCAAAACTAGGCGCCTCAAAATGAAACACAAAGCTGTGCCTCCCGGTTCTAGGTTGGTTCACCAACGAAACAAATTCTTAACACCTGTCTAAATCAATTGATAAATCTAAACCCTGGTTAGCGTAACTATAAGTCTAAACCCTAAACTTTCCATACTTAGTTCACCATGGGCCACCACTTTGTGCCACTTTCATAGCGTTGCTTTGTGCTGCCGAGCCGCCCATGACTCTCATGACCTCCAGAAGCCTCCCGTTGCTCAAAGGGCTTCCCACCGTCTCCTGCCAGGCGCGGCGCGGTGCCACGGTGCCACGCTGTTTAGCCTCGGTGCCCTGGAAGAGCGTGGGGGGACACCGAGTGAAGACCGTGCCATGTTCGACATTGGCAAAATTAGGCAACCGCAGTCGATCTGAGATTTCTTGGCTGCAATTTGGTGCACAATTGTGTTGCGCTTTTTTTTCTCTGTAACTGCGCTGAACCAGTGATCAGATTTATCACTGTTGCAATTTTCACCTCCGGTAATCAAACATGTCTGGCTGGGAGATTCCTTATACATAGGCATTTCAAAGGGAAACTGGTCGATAAATTGGGAGTTTTCCAGTCGGCCATGGAGCTGATTCCCAGAGGGTATTCTCTAAAACCTTCACCGTAGCTCTGAGTTTGCCAATGATTCAATGGCCAAGACTTGAGGCATAGCCTTTATGAAATCTGCATCGGGAATTTCATCATGTCATGATCATGATAATCTTCCTTTGCTTTGCCACAAAGGAAGAAAATAAACACCCCAGGTCAAAGCTCAAGGAATCCAATGACGGAGAGTGGTCCTTTGGCAAATGACTTTCCCATCAAACATATCAAAAACATGCCGGTGGCCGTCCCCATCTTAGAGTAAAACAGGATGGTATTTTTGTTAGTAACCTCAAATCATATTCTTTACCAACAAATGTGTTGGGAACATATATATATATATATACATAAAATATAAATACATATTGTAAATATACACAATATAAATGAATTCTCTTCTTGCCGGAACCACATGTGCTGGAATCAAAGCACGGGACATGGTTCATGGTTTGAGGACAGCTTGCATCCTGCAGGAAGTGTTTGACGGGCCCCGAAATGACACATGTGAAATTAGCCAGAAGAAATGGACCACATTTTTCAACATTGGATCTATATATAATTCACATATCAACCCAGAAAAAGTGATGTGTTTTCCAATAAAAAAAGAAAGTCAGCACAAAATCCGACAACAAGCCATCTCCAAGTGCGGAAATTTGTATCCTCCGGACCTGACCGCCACATCAATCCAGTTTCCGAAGTACTTCTGTGAGGGGAATATGAAGGGAATTCACAAAAAGGGGAGACTCCAAAATCATCTGAAATTGGTGATTTCCAATGGGTCCAATGACTAATTTTGGAGTACTCGCCGATTTTGAAGAACATCAATTCGGATCAGGAATCTTTCAAACTTTGGTTATTTCTTGTGGTCAAAGCGCGCTGGTATGGGCTCACCTAAGATGTTGCCAATTTGCTCAACGGCGGAAAGGGATAGTCGATCAGTCCTCTGAATGACAATGGGTATAGGGCCATATGAAACAGGACAATCGTTATGTGTTTTTTTTCCAAACCTACTGTGGATGGAAGAAACTTGCACCAGTTGATAGGTGGTTTATCCCATTGTTTCTAGGGTTTCAACCATCCCAGGTGGTGCAGGATTTCCTCCATCCACCGTATGTTGACAAAATGTTGCAATGAGCAACAACTCAAACCCTCTGCATGTTCCTCCTGCTTCGTTGCTATGTGCCCATCCAATCACCAGGGTTGTATCCTCATCGTTGATCAACATGGGGATGGTTCGAAACCTGTTCACATCAAAATAGCTGGTTTATGGATGTTCATCCCCTAACAAATCGTATAAAAAAAGGTAATGATCCATAGCCACATACTCTTATCTTTGGATGCTGATGTCTCTTCAAATTCTGAATCTTGGTACAGCACCCCCAACCAACTGTCGGTCCGAACTCGACGCTCATTGCCGGTCACTGACTGGATTGGTGGCAGAAAAAGAATGGTTTTTCGTCAACAATTGGCAGTCAACAGTCAATATCAAAATTGGTTGGTGGTTTCAACCCCTCTGAAAAATATTGGTCAGTTGGAATCATAATCGCATAAATTATGGAAAATGAAACATGTTTGAAACCACCAACCAGGCATGACATGACCTAAAAAGATGTCTCAGTTCCACAAATCGAACGGTAAACATTCGATGAATTACTCTACAAAAACCGCTGGCTTTCCACTTTGAAAAACCTTAAATGACCAAAGGGTATTGGAAATACAACCCTGGTGACAAACTGGGACTCAATGGTTCGATTTCCATCTTTCAATGGTTGGATTCCCAGAAACAACCCCATTGGTTGTAACCAACACATGATCAGTTATTCTGTCTAAGCATTTAGGGGTCATATCCGCACAATTTCGAAGCTTAAATCCACCCATAGCCATCAACCAACCATCATTTTTCAGGCTGTCTCTAAAATTTAGCTATCCCCATATGTAAAAAAATTGGCTAATTCCGAATCCCAAAGCAGATACGCAGTATAAGCCCCCGTTATGTCACAATCGAAAAGGATAAATCTTATTGCCAAAGGTATTGAAGATCATGTTCGCTCGAAGGTCGCATGGCCAAAGTTGGGTAGTTTTTCTGGTGCGTTTAGCCCCCGAGACCAAAGATTGGCACAACCAAATTATACCGGATATATATATATGTATATATATAAATGGTTTATAAATAATTAGTATATATATATATATAGAGATATCCGGTATAATTTAGTATATAATAAGTTTTTCATATATCATACACTAATTAAAACATCAGGTGGTTGAGAAACTCTTAGTAGCTCCTTGGCCCCCCATTTAAGAATATGCATACCACTCCCAAACGCTTTCTCCCATTAAGGTTTACCACATTATCCAACTTGGGCCAACTTGGCTTTGTCTGAAAATAAGGCACCAAGCACCTGGTGCCTTATCATCATTTTCCGTATGAACATTGCTTTGAGGGTGTTCCCCCATGTTCAGACACCCCGAAATTATACTGTTGAATGTTGGTGATATATCCCACTCCATCCCCATTTTGGTCGGTATATTGGCATTATATACCCATTATGTACCCATATCCTCTCCATTAATGCCATTAGCCCTATTACACTCCTAGTGTTTATGGTTCACCCCTCATATTTATACACTTTTGATCATATCCATCAACACGTATCAACAAATGACATACTATATAGTTGATTTGAAACCTATATGTATATATATATATATATATAAATACATATCCATGGATATATCGTTGTACTACTCATATACCCAATGGATATACCCAATGGATATATGATCTATGTACCCATGATATTCCCAATGGATGTACCGTCAAAGTCCTGGGTCTCCGTCTCTGCAACTCCCACGAGTTTCGCATCGACGCTGTCGCAGTCCACGAGTTTCCAGGTGCCCAAACTCGAGCGTTCCTCAGGGGAATTCATGGAGATTTACCAAGTTTTTAATATCTTATTATATATATATATATTACTTATGCTGATGTGTGTTTTCCTGAGGAACAAATCTCCAACTTAATTAATATGACTTATGTTTCTCTCCAACATTTCAAATGCTTTTTTTTCCGGGAATATGAAAGAACCTGGTTGAACATTGGGACAGTGAACATTAAGAAAACGTGAGTGGAATGGGGACGCTGATCTAAATGGGGTAAGTCATGGAAAAAACCGGCTGTTTTCAACGGCACAGTATAACCGGCTGGTCCAATCATCGTTCTTTTAAGGGTTTCTAGCAGAAATTCCTCCTCTTATCGTGATATTTCATGGGAATATCTGTATGGAATAAATCATCAATGTGATATTTGGATAAAAAATGGCGTATCTGAGATCGGGATGTATCCCGGAAACTGTTTTTTGATGAGGAACATTGGTTAAACAGTGGATTTGGGAGTAGCCGATTGACACCCCCATCTCAATTCAGGGCTCGAACATCAATGATCGGCTAGATTTTTGTCAGTTGTTTTTGACCTATCACAAATTAGAATAATCGAAGGAAGTTTTCAAGTCAAACTTCCGACAATATGGACAGATGAAAAGCAGAGATGGGACGAGTCAGAGAGAAGAGAAAGATTAGAAGAGAGAAGATCAGAGAAGAGAAAGAGTCAGAAGAAAGAAGATGCAGATGCACGAAAAGGTAGGAAAGTCGCAAAACAGTGTGTTTTTCCAATGATTTGTGGCTCCGGAGGGTCGAAAAGTAGGCTCGCTAAAGCGGCGGGTGCCGAGCCATCTGGCCAGATGAGAGATGAAAAATTGCACGCCGTTGTGGCACGAAGCAAATTTCAAAATCAAAATGTACAAAGCACACCATTCTCGGACCACTTTTGGAAGTTGAGATGTCGAAAAAGTGCACGCCGTCGTGGCGCGAAGCACATTTCGAAGTCAAAATTTACAAAACACACCATTCTCGGACCACTTTTGGAAGTTCAGATGTCGAAAAAGTGCACGCTGTTGTGGCGCGAAGCACATTTCAAAGTCAACATGTACAAAACACAGAAAACACACCATGTTTGGACCACTTTTGGAAGTTGCGATGTCGAAAAAGTGCACGCCATTGTGGTGCGAAGCACATTTTGAAGTGAAAATGTACAAAGCACACCATTCTCGGACCACTTTTGGAAGTTGCGATGTCGAAAGAGTGCACGCCGTTGTGGCGCGAAGCACATTTCGAAGTGAACATGTTAGACACACCAGGGTTCGGACCACTTTTGGAAGTTCAGATGACGTTTTGTGTGGCAGGCGCAAGAGATGGTGCACCTTGTCAAAAGTGAGCAAAACGTGAGGGTTTTGTAACATTTTTAACTACAACCACCACTACACCACACTACACTCCAATACACTACACTACAACAACTACACCTTCATTACATTCCACTGCACTACACTACACTCCACTACACTACATTACGCTCAATTACACTCAAGTACATTACACTGCACTACACTACATTACGTTCCACTACACTACACTACATTACGCTACACTACGCTCCACTACACTCCACTATATTACACTACACTACATTCCACTACACTACACTACATTACACTACAATCCACTACACTACACTACAACCACACTACACTACATTCCACTACACTACACTACACTCCACTACACTCCACTACACTCCACTACACTACACTCAATTACACTACACTACATTACACTACAATACGCTCCACTACGCTACAGTACACTACACTACATTCCACTACACTACACTAGACTAACTACAATACTACATTTACAATACCCTACGCTACAATGCACGAATGACACTTCACTACGCTACACTACACTACACTGCACTACACCTACAACTACAACTGCAACTGCAGCTGCGCTACATTACATTACACTACACTATATAATGACATTACACTACACTACGCTACATTACACTACATCACACTAACTACAACTCCAACTACATAAGACTACACTACACTACACTAATTACATTACACTATGCTGCACTACACTACACTACACTACACCTCACTACACTGCATTCCACCACGCTACAGTACACTACGCTCAATTACACTACACTACACTCAATTACAACAACTACAACGACAACTACAACTACAACCAAAACTGCAATACATTACATACCAGTAGTACCGCACAAGGCGGTGGCGGAAGATTCAAAAATAGGAAACCTATAGGAGAGCTTGGTTGTTGTGAATGAGGGATGGCAGAGCGAAGCCACTGATGGACCGAAAGGTGCTTGAGGTCTCCTCTCTTTCTCTCTCTCTTTCTCTGACTATCTACTTACCTACCAGCCTATCTTCTATGTATCTATCTATCTATCGATCTTTCTATCTCCCTCTTTCTCTCTTTCATCAAATTACCTATCTACCTATCTACCTATCTACCTATCTACCTATCTACCTATCTACCTATCTATCTATCTATCCATCTATCTATCTATCTCTCTCTCTCTCTCTTTCATCTGTCTATCTGTCTAGCTGTCTACCTGTCTGACTATCTATCTATCTATCTATCTATCTATCTATCTCTCTCTCCATCTCTCCATCTATCGATCTATTGTAGTTGTAGTTGTAGTTGTTGTGGTTGGTTGTTGTGGTTGGTGTTGTTGTTGTTGTCGAGGTTAGGGTAGTTAAGTTAGTGAAGTTAGTTAAGTTAGTCAAGTTAGTTAAGTTAATCAGTGTCTACTTTTTCGACATCTTCACGTCAAAAAAGGCTCAAAACCCTCAGTTTTTTAAACTTTGACTTCGAAATGTGCTTCGCGCCACAACGGCGTGCACTTTTTCGACACTTTTTCCACATCGGAACCTCCAAAAGTGGTCCGAGACCGTCAGTTTTTTACACTTTTGACTTGGAAATGTGCTTCGCGCCACAACGGCGTGCACTCTTTCGACATCGCAACTTCCAAAAGTCGTCCGACACTGAGGTGTTTTCTACATTTTCACTTCGAAATGTGCTTCGCGCCACAACGGCGTGCACTTTTTCGACATCGCAACCTCCAAAAGTGGTCCGAACCCCTGGTGTTTTGTACATTTTGACTTCGAAATGTGCTTCGCGCCACAACGGCGTGCACTTTTTTGACATCTCAACTTCCAAAAGTGGTCCGACGCTGAGGTGTTTTGTACATTTTGACTTGGAAATGTGCTTCGCGCCACAACGGCGTGCACTTTTTCGACATCCCAACTTCCAAAAGTGGTCCGGACCTGGTGTGTTTTGTACATTTTGACTTGGAAATGTGCTTCGCGCCACAACGGCGTGCAATTTTTCATCTCTCATCTGGCCAGCTGGCTCCGCACCCGCCGCTTTAGCGAGCCTACTTTTCGACTCTCCGGAGCCACAAATCATTGGAAAAACACAGTGTTTCGCGACTTTCCTACCTTTTCGCGCATCTGCATCTTCTTTCTTCTGACTCTTTCTCTTCTGATCTTCTCTCTTCTAATCTTTCTCTTCTCTCTGCCTCTTCCCTGCTCTGCTTTTCATCTGTCCATATTGTCGGAAGTTTGACTTCTAAACTTCCTTCGAATACTACACTACAACTACAACTACAATTATTACAACAAGTACAACTACACTACACTAATTGCATTACACCACACCACGCTACACTGCACCACACTACACTACACTAATTGCAGTACACTACACTACTTGCATTACACTACACTACACTACACCACACTACACCACACCACACCACACTACAGTCAATTACACTACACTACACTACACTACACCACATTGCATTACATTGCATTGTATTACATTAAATTACATTACATTACAATACACTCATTGCATTACATTACATTATATTAATATTACATTAAATTACATTACATTACAATACACTCATTGCACCACCACAAATGCAAGTGCAACTACGCTACACGAATTACATTACACTACAACTACAACTCCACTACAACTACAACTACAGCTGCGCTACACCACACTACATCCAGCAGTTGTGGGTGAGGTGACCGACCAGGTGACCACTGCAACCATTGCAGCCACTCCAAAAAGCACAGCTCCAACCGCCTTTCGGTCCATCAGTGGATTCGCTCTGCCATCCGTGATTCACAACAACCAATCTCTCCTATAGGTTTCCTATTTTTAAAACATGCGCCACCGCCTTGTGCGGTACTACTGGTACAAAATGTAAGGAATGCAGTGATTGGTGTTTGGTGGCTGTTCATTGTGAGTGTAGACACTTCATCGAAACGGATGCAAGGGACACTGGCAACGCTTCCACTTTCTCCCACCATGAAATGGAGTTGACCAGCCCTTCTCTTGAGCCCATGTCACAGGCGCATTACCTGTGCCAGCTGCGGTCACGCCATGACGCCACATATTTGGCATTTCAACACAAAGTACCATGCCTTCGTTCCTTGGATACTGTGGGAGGTTGTGTACGGAACGGGTGGACCACCGTAGTTCTCACAACCTCCGTCCATCGCGATGCGGCACAACCCATCTTCTTCTTATCCATGCCCGCGAGTCGGTGTCCAAGGTGTCGGAGTCACTGTGTTCAACGCACCATAGATCACCATTTGTTGAGCTGTGGGCAAGCAATTTAAGGGGGGAACGAAAATCTTCTTCAATTAATCCATTTTGAGAATCTTCATCGGTGGGATCTGTCCCAAACCTGGCAAATGTCTGAGTGAAGTGTGGGCAAATTATTCTAACACACGTACAACATGGGCAGCGAAAACATGGTTTCAGCAATGACATCAACCACGAGGAAAATTCACCAAAAAGTTCAGCCTGCAAGATCTGGTTCAACAAAAATGCCAAGCGTCGAAGAATCTGACTTTCACGCATCCAATGGGGGGGAAATGGATGGTTTGCCAAACAGTTTGACCGTCCGAGATCGTACTTGGCACCGATGCGTGGGGGGCGACTGGGTTCATCAACGTTTTTTTTTTTTTATGAGGCCTACAAGGTGGTGTCCCCGTTCGATAGCTAAGTTGGTTTATAACTCCAATAACAACGGTTTTTGTTGGTGATATATCTACAGTTTTCATGGGATTATAAACCAACTTATAACTTGGGGGGCACCACCTTGTAGGTAGGAAAGAGAAGAACATCAACACATCCATCCGTTTTTCTTTGTTTAAGAATCTAGCCATTGGCCTTCCACACTTACCATGTGCGCGTTATCGGTCCAAATGCTCAGTTTTGCTACACTCACTTCATGGATCGTTTGTGGCTGGCTCAGGAACCAACCAACCCACCGAAATTGGCCCACTCAGACAGCAGTCTCCATGGGAACCACAACATTGTTTCTGTTGTAGGATCAGCAAAGCATCGAACTCAATTTGAGCAATGGAATAGTTTCCATGGAATCACGCAGTTTGTCATGTTTTATCAACAAAAACATAGTAAACCGTCCATCCAATTAATTAACATCAATTTTCAGGGTCGAGCTGCTGATTTTGGAAATTGCTATACTAGTTATTCCCTTTCATGTCGATCCCTAAAAACAAAAATATCAACCAATTTCATGGGATTTACCAGTTTCACCATCCATTTCCCAATAAAACACACACATATTTATATATACAATATAATATAATATATATAATAAAATACAATATCATATAGTATAATATAAAATAATAAAATGCAATATCATATAATATAAGATAATAACATATAAGATAATAAAATACAATATCAAGTAATATAATATAAACAAATAAAACAATTTGATATAATATAGTATAATATAATATAATATAATGTAATATAATAAAGTATAATATAATTAAAAAACAAAAATAAAATAATACAATGTAATAAAAAATATATAATATAATAAAATAAAATAAAATATAATATAATAAAATATAGTATGCACATATATGGGTTCCTATATACATGTATGTGTATATATATATATATGGGAAACATGAGTAAACCATCCATTTCACCATCCATTTCCCATTCCTCCCCTCCCGTCCAAGTAGCAAAGGTCCAAAAGGCCTCAAATTTCGACCGAAGGCAATCCCAAGGGCAAGAAATGGTGGATTTCATAGGGATTTAAACATCACAAATGCTGATGAACACTGGAAATTTCACCCAGAAATCCATGTTTTGTCGATTTCACGAAGGGATGGTGATGTTTTTTTTGATTTCAACCTGCAACTGCCCTGAAATTTAAGAGTTCACCATGGAACATGACCAGGTATGAAACATGGCCATTCTCCATGGCAAACTCTTCGATTGAGGTATAATGGCAGCCCTCTGCAGTCACCTGCCATGACTCGTTTTTTCGGTGTAAAACAAACAACCACACAGGATGGGGCCCGCCAGTTATAAGCTGGGTTATAACCCCACCTAAATATAGTTAATTATTTGCGTATCATACACAACTGTTATTATAGTTGTTTGCACCAACTTAGCCAACGAACTGGGGCCCCATCCTGCAGTGAAAAACGTTGGAAAAACTATTTTGGAGGGGAGTTCAAATTTCCCCAGCAAATGAAACTGCTGCGTACCATGAAGAAACCATTCAACATCATTCAACGAAAATCTTTTGAACTCTTGACCACCAAAAAATCATCGCATTGTAACAGGGGATTCTGATTGGAATGATGATTTTGGAACAGCTATCGAGGCTATTGTTGAGATGTTTCCTAAGTCGTTGGGGAGCACCCAAATCATCCCAGTCACGATCATGACTTAGTACTGAAACCATGCTGACGCCAAAAGGATCACCCACGACTCAACACGACCCGACAAAACCAAGACACTGAAGGCAATGGTCCCGGCGACTCGCTAGGGCCATGTTTCAAATCCTGCATTTCCTGCCACAACGTTGTTGAACAGCCAGGGAATCCAGCAACATGCTGATATTGTTTAACCCAAAATTCCAAATGTAATTCAGAACATGACGGTCAAATGCTCCGCAATTTTCCTGTTTTTTTCCGTTCGACGGTACACGGGTTTTACATATTTCTTATCTCAACTGGGTCACCACGGCATTTCGGGCCTTCCGAATGGAAACGATTTGTGCAAACAACACAAAACATGACATATGACGCCAACACATGATGTAAAACACAAATCTATACGTGACGTTATCGTAACATTTTTCATGAATAACCAATACACACATTGCAAACATTGTGGACTACATGTACAATGCGACCGTTCAAAATATGAACAACACAAATAGGTTGAACACACAATGGAACACCACAAAAGTGGGACGCATCACAAATGATCACATGGAACATTTTCCAAATACCTCAGCTACGAGATTTTCAGGTTCCAAAAAAAATCCGATATAGTCACGCAAAACAATGCCAATGCCTCCGCATGTGCGAAAATGTTTTGCCGAGCGAGAACTTTGAAACCAACTTCGGGCACAGACCAACTCACCGGGACAACCAGAAACCCGAGTTGCAAATGTTTTTCAACATGACAAAACCAACTGAGACAGTATTTCAACGAAATCAACCAAAAATAAAAAAACAAATATCTATTCAGGATTTTTCAGGCCTGTTTTCGAGCATGACCAGCTGAAACGAAAATTGGGTAGTTTATTCGCCTATCATCACGCCGATCACGCACAGAAACTTTCGGACGGGGCCTGAACGAACTCTTTCAAGCTGCTGAGTAGCCTGAGCTGTCGGGGATCCGTGCCTGCCCCAAATCCATCCAATGAATTTTGGAAACAATATTTGTTTTTGAAAGTGACGGCATGACCAAGGCATCCCGATGGCAGATGGAATGTTCCAAACCACCTGTGCATGTTAGTCATTTGCGGCCAGTTTTGAATTGGTTACAGCTTTGGAAGAAGAGTCTGTCAGCCCCGTGCCCCAGAAAAGGTAAAACCACCCAAATGCCAAGTCCCATGTGAGCCAAAAAAAATTGGGCCGAAGGAAAGCACGGCAAAAACGACGTATCATCTGGAAGATTCTGGAAGTATATATGGCATCGGTTTTCTGGCATTTTACCTGACATTTTTTCTGGCATATTTAGTGATATTGAGCATTTACTGTGACATTCTGTCTGACATTGTTTCCGACATTCTTTCTGGCATCTTTTCTGGCATTCATTCTGGCCCTCTATATCTGACATATATTTTGATGTTCTCGCTCGCATCTCTTATGGCATTTTACCTGGCATTCTTTCTGACAGGTGTTCTGACATCCTTTCTGGCATGTGTGCGGGTCCGGTTGTGCTGCCGTGGGGCTTGCGATAGGTCTCAGGTCTGTGCGCGCCGGGCTCGCCATGAGCTTCTGGAGCGAAGCTGCTCCACTTGAGCTGGCACTTGCTGAAGATCCGGGTCCATTGGTGCAGAAGCTGGGGAAAGGAAGCGCGGAGAAATGACGGAGTAAGAGAAGGAGTTGCATTTTTTCAACTTGTTCAAATCTGGAGACCCTCACCTGGCACGCGGGGAACAAATTTGACGCAAGCTGCTTCGCTGCTGTGCTGCCAAAGCTTTCACGCTGTGCTCAGCTGTGCTCCTAAATTTGTTCGCAAATGGTCCAGCGCCATTTTAACCGCCATGGATCGCCATGGTCCTGGCATCCCCCACGACCAGCGTGGTGACACATTCAGCAATCATCAACAGGCGCAGGGACCAGCGCAGCAATGTATGGTGGCAGGACAGCGCCTCTTTCGGGAGCTTGTTCCTTGGAGGCAATCAGCATGCTGTGCATCTGCGCAATAAATAGAAATCAATCATAAGACGAGAAGTAAGGATTACTTGGGTTTGACTGAAAATGGGGGATTAACCGCGACAACATGCACAAAGGGAAACTGATAGAAAATTATGATTTACCATACAGGGCTCACTGCAACCATCCTGTATACTTGTGCATTGTTGCGAGGTCCTTGCAGTTTGTCCGGAACATGGTTGTGGAAATTGTGGACTTTTAGCAATGAAATCACAGGTACTTGGACGTGCAGCAGGAGGTTTATAGATCGATTTCCAAACCTTCCACCGGGGGTAGCACCTTCATTGCTACAGGTAGGCGTCAAGTCAAGTCATTCCCGGAAACTGGTTGGGTAAATCATCACTGGTTATTTTAATGATCAAATGACGAAGAACCAATGGATCTAGGGAAATTCCTATTTTCAGATCCAAATGATCCCACATTCCCACATGTGCATTCACACCTATATACTGCAAATATATATATATACTATGGAGCCGGCTGTGGCGCCAATCTCTGTCATGCTTTTTGGCAACGGTCTGGATCCTGGGTTTTGTTTTCAGGGGATACCCTCTGGTAAACATAGAAAAACAAAAGGAACGATCCACCATTTTTTACAGGTGAATCACATATCAATTGACATCAATAGACCATTTTTCAATAGCTATGTTTAAAAAAACATCTTGAATTGATAAATGATATAAATGTAAGAGTTAAATTCACCATCTATAATTGACCAATTCACTAGCCCAGGTACAGCCCCAGTTACAAGGTGGTGCCCCCCAAGTTATGTTTGTTGGTTTATAATCCCATGAAAACTAGTTCGATATATCACCAACAAAAAACATAGTTTAACTATTGGACTTATTTGCACCAACTGAACGCTATCGAACGGGGGCACCCCATGTGGGGATGAAGCCGCCAGCCATCTCCCCAAGGTCATCAGCCGGTCAGCTGACGACTCCCCATGGCGCCGCAAGGCGCATCCCTTGGGGAAAAGTACCCTGGCCTTGATATTTGGTACGCTTTTTCCATGATTCTTTCTAGGTGTCGTTGGAATTTAAGCAAAGTTTAATGATTTTATTGAATTTTGACGAATGTTGATGAATTCATGATGAATTTTGGGGGTACACTCAGAAAAACAAACTACATCAACCAACGTTGGTCTTCACGGCGGTCACGGGGCAAGGTCGCTTCGAACGTTCGGATGTGGCTCATCGAATGTGTCTGAGATCGGGGTATAGGAAACAAATACAGTTCCTTAAGCAAAATGGTGGTTTAATGGTGGTTTCATGGTGGTTTAATGGTGGTTTAATGGTGGTTTAATGGGATTTATTGGGATTTAATGGGAATATACCCTCTGGTAAACCTACAAAAAACTATGGAAAATGTTCCTTTACAGTTCTTTAAGCAAAAACATATACCCTCTGATTACAAAACTCTGGAAAATCACCTTTTTATAGCTGGGTAAATCAACTGTTTCTATGGCCATTTTCAATAGCTATGTTAAATTACCGAGGGTAGTTTACTGGAATTTAACCCATCAAAACCAGTGAAAAGTTCGGTTGCCCTTTGGCATCTGTCACAGTAAACCATGGAAGTAAATGGGCCATCTATATATATATACTGGCTGGTGGTGTTTACCATCTTGAAAAATATGAGTTCGTCAATGGGAAACTAAAATCGAATATATGGTGGAAAACAAAAAATGTTCCAAACCACCAACCAGTATACCATGGCTACGCAAACAACTACCCGAGGGTAACCCTATTTTCACATGAAGAAAATCGGGTATCCAGGTGGCCCATATTCACGCTTCCCACCAAGGCTCTTGAGCCTTGCAGAAAAAAGAAACACAGGGTGCCCCCCCAAAAAAAGAAACATGATTGGTTGATATTTCTTAGGTGAATTCTATGGTTGATGCTATGTCTTGAACTGGTGACAGGGATATACCGATATACCCCATTAGTTGGATCAATAGTCAATATCTATATACATAGACATATACATACATACATACATACATATATATATATATATATTTATTTAGCTACTGGGCTTGAGAAATTGATAAACCAACTTGTGACTGGCCCCAGCTTGTGTCATGGCTTCTAGACCCACTTCGATATCCACCTGTTGAATTCTATGATGGGTTTGAGAACATAACATTACTTGGCCACGTTGTTCAAGCCCCAATTCTTGGTGGCTGCATTCCCATCACTCTTCGTTGCTTGAGTTCAACTTTTGTTGCTGCAAGTCCAAAATAATTGTATATCAATAATTTAACTGTGGTTTATCCATATATGAAGTAATATACCGTTTGGTTATTTAACGTAGCTATGGAAAATCACAATGTTTGATAGGTAAATAATCATAAATCCTCTAATTTGATAACCATTTTTTCCATAGCTATATTAAATAGCCAGAAGGTACATCACATCATTCTGTTGATGTTTTTTCCCATGGGTAAAAATCACGAAAATTCCGAGGAGCGAAGGGATCCAGGTCTCAATCGGCGAACGGAACTTGGGGAGCCTGGCGTCGCAGGTCACTCCAAGGCCTCTATTTTCAGAGGTATTTCACCCAGCAAAAATGAGAAAAAACACGACACACACACACATGGTGATGAATAGGGAATGTATCATAAGCTAAGTTGGCTTATTTTCAACTATGGTCCATGGTGTGTATATATATATACAAAAATGCTGATGGGGGAGACCCAAATCAAGTAAACATAATCGTTTTTTGAATGGTCTTAACCACCCAAGGTTGGTCTTGGTCTCTGTGGTTTCTCAGATTCAACACAGAGAAATGCTGATTCAAAACATTAAAGCTTTGGATTCAACCAACAGGACACAATTTGGGATTTTCGTACAATATTCATAATAGCTTTAGGCACCATTTTTCATACGAATGACCCGATCAATCCCGATCACAATTGTTTAATTGGCTAAATCCATGAGGTTGTTGGTTATGTATATCCCCATTAACCAATTAAAAATGGGATTATATTCCCATTAACATTAAACACATCCCCATCACCATTCCCCATCGTTGTTGGATATGTATATCCCCAGAGATCTTGTTGCAAAAATATCCTGAGATTTTTGCATATCGCATGGTTTTTTCAACAACAGTTGACAACGGTACTTGGTGGCTCATCCCACGAAGCGTAAGTGGGTTATAACCCCAGTGATTTACATGGGATAAGTAGGGTTAATCCACATCAATTACTGGGGTGAACTAACCCACTTACGATTCGTGGGTAGGTCGCCACCAAGTAAAAATCTTCATTTCTTGTTGCTGAAATCCACATCTTGCAACGCTTCAAAACTACACATCTAATGAGTCTGGGATCGGCATCCTCTGATGTTGGGATTTGAAATTAAAGAGTGTCTGAAACCAACACCTGGTAGTGGGATTCATTGATTGAATATGTTGCAGTGTCGCTGTGAAGGCTTTGGAGTAATCACTACATGTTTGGAAAATCAGTACATGTTGGATGTTTTTCCAGGCACTGGAATGGCTTGAAAGAAGGCTGCGGAAGGAAATGCTTTGGCGCGAAGCCATGTGTGGGGCCCATGTTTTGCATCAAACTTGGCGCAAGATGCCGTAACCAAAACCAGACAATGGAGATCCCTTATCCTCAATTTTTGCTGGTCAACCCATATCATTTTTCCGATGGGGACATCACATAAACTATATGGAAAAATATTTGTTCAACTATAATATGTAAATCATCATGTTTATCATCTATACATGGGTTATTTACCCATAGCTAATATGTTAAATCATCAAAGGCTATCTGGATCTATATGGTTCATGTATATTTTAGAACTCATCTGGTTGGTGGTTTCAACCCCTCTGAAAAACATGAGTTCGTCAGTTGGGATTATTATTCCCAATATATGAAAAAAATCATGTTCCAAACCACCAACCAGTCATTAATATACCCTCTGGTAAACGTTTACAAAAAGCTATGGAAAGATCCACCATTTTATAGCTGGGTAAATCCACTATAAATGGCCATTAGTAAATGGTATAGTGAAATTACCATAATAAAATCCCTCTGGGTCTGGGTAAATCAACTATTTCTATAGTTGTTCGCTATGCCAAATTTCACCATATATCAAGGCGGTCATTCTTGGTGAAACCCCGGGTTCCCCGCCTCTGAGCGATGGAGGGTGACTCCATGAGGCGTAGCAAGGCGGCCTAGTTGGACGACGATTAGACGTGTTATGGATGGATGGATTATGGATGATCTATGAGGCTTGTCGACATGGTTTAATGGATGATATACTGTACATCTATGGACCTATGGGTGATTATGGATGATTATGGATGATTATGGCTGTCTATGGTGGACTTATCCCATTTCTGACTGTATATATCTATACGAAATTGAGTAATAGTGGCTTAATCATGACCATAGTTGTAGGGCGCTTTGCCCTGAAATGGTTTTAGCTGGCATATTTCATAGTATAAAACCAACCAGTTATAGGAGTTATAATCCCAATCATATCTCTTAAGGGCCATAACTTTATGGTTTATGGATGACATACATCTATGCAAAGCGAGGCCCCAGAGATAGCTAAGTTGACATACAACTTGCTTGACAAGGATTTACGGGTACAGAGTACAGTAGCCTATACCCTCTGGTCAACTAACATAACTGTGGAAAATCATGGAAAATCACCATGCTATAGCTGGGTAGATCAACTATTTCTATGGCAATTTTCAATAGCTACATTAAATTACCAGAGGCTAGTATTCATGGGGGTTCTAAAGCAACGTGTACCTCGTTGGCCTCACCTTTTATTGTTTTAGTACAGGGCGGTGCCCCATAGTTGGCGAAGTTAACTTATAATTCCACTGTTGGGTGTATGTGGATTGTATCTATACGGGATCATAAGCCCAACTTAGAACTAGGGGGGCCCACCTTTTATGGCAATGGGGAAATCATCTACACATGTGGGATTTTTTGAAATGGACGTTATATACCCATTATATCCCCAGTATTTCCGCATTAAATCTATTTACTTTTACAACTTTTTGCATCAGATCCCCTACATCAGTATCATAAAACTTGGCCAACACTTTTTTTAGGGCCCCACATTGCCATCAGTACCATAATCCAACCGTACACCTGGAGTCAAATCATTCACCGTACAATTCCAATCATGTCTAACGTCGCAAGGTGTGGTTGCAACAGAATTATCATATTTTATGCATATATATATATTTACAAGCCCAAAGGTGGCAGCGCTCCAGCATTTGGAAAAGCAGCATTGCCTTGCCAGTTTACCGGAGGTGGATTGGCTGCATTCCAGATGACATTGAAATCCAGTGCGAAATGCCATTGGCGTAGACCCAGGGCATGGAGTCAACACCATCACGAAGCTGCTTCTGCAACCACACTAGAAAATTGGTCTGCAATGAGGTGAGGGTGTGAAGCAAATGCATCAGCAGAAAATGAGCACGGTAATCCGCTGTTGTGATGTCTCCTTTGGGTGCCAATAGGATGTTGGTGATGTGCACAAATGAAGGCTGTCTTCCTGGGACTTCAATAGCCGGCCTCACTGCAAAACGACATGATGAAAGATTCAGTCTGTCACCAGTCTTGCCAATAAGACAAAATCCAGGCAAGAATGCAGCCATCGCGACAATCACTGTTGGGGATATCCAGTAGAAGCCTTGATGCCAATCGTGATCCAAAAAGAGCTGTGCACTGTATTAGATGACTAGCAGATAGAATTGGTAAACCAGTGCGACAATCACTTCGAATTGCTTGTCAGTGATACCTGGGGGGTGCACTAAGAATTGCTGCGGGTGCACAAAGAATTGTCGGCAGTGATACCATAAGAAAGGCCATATCATAACCATGCACTTAAAATCCCCAAATGCAGTTAGAATTGACATGAAGTCCGAAAACCACAAAAAAAAAAATGCTGTTAGAATTGTATCAACTCCTTGTGGTACCCCCAAATCATCCACTTTAATAGGATTTTCCTTATAAACCATCCATTTTGGGGATCCCCCATTTATGGAAACCCCCAGATTATCTCATCAGGTTTGCGGAAACTCTTAGTAGCTCCTTGGCTCCCCATCTGGTAGGAAATAGTGTTCTGAATCGCTCACTCCTAACCACTGAGTCACTATTTATAGCCCTGTAAAGACTGAAGTCTCATAATTTCCTTAATCAATTTACCCATCTCTGATTAGTCACTTATAAATACCATTAGTCACTCGTTTCTGATTTTCCCTTCATGAATTATTGGGAACTGGGTGTCGAACCAATGCTGGTCTCTGCTGTAGTTCTTCAGATGGAACCAGGCGAACCTCAGACCAGTCAGACCAGTCCCATGGCACCACGGCGACGTTGGGATCTCCAAAAGGGGGATGATTACCCTCTGGTAAACTAACATGGCAATGGAAAATCACCATTTTTAATGGGTAAATCCACTATTTCTATGGCCATTTTCCATTGCTATGTTAGTTTACCAGAGGGTACTGGGAAATGATGAGGATTTTGGAAGAAACACATGCCACAAGGTGGTGCCCCCACCTTGTTATGTGAATGTTGGTTTACAATCCCATGAAAACTGGTTCGATATATCACCAACAAAAAACCCTAGTTATTGGGGTTATAAACCAACTTAGCTATCGAACGGGGGGCACCACCTTGCAGAAGATTATAATCCCATGACCATTGGATTCTAAATTACTGGGAAATGATGAGGGGGATCTCCACATTATTATTTTTATACTGAAATATGGGGATTTTAGAAACAGGGAGCAAGGTAGAAGAAATATTGGGATATGGTAATTACTTGGACTTAAGATGATTTCAGGAACAAACATGGGGATTTTTGAACCAAGAAATTGCGATGAAAATTCAACACATGGGGATTTTGCAGTATTTGTTTTGCTTCGAGTGATCCCCACCGTGGAATAAATATGAATAATTTCTCAGATATATTCTGAAATTCTATCTGACATATATATATATATTATATCATGCCAATCTATCGGACATATATTTTGACATTCTATCTGGCATTCCAACTGACGTTATAATCACACATGGCAAGGGAAAACAACAATGATAGATACATGTCCATTTGAATGTCATTTTTTTTCGGGGACTTTCCATTGCGCCATGAGGACACCGGAGTATAGGTGGTCTGAAACGGATTCCATGTGGTCAATGGCTAGCTTGGATGCCCTACTTGTTCATCATGTCATGTTGGTTTGCCATCAAAATCAATCATTGAGCCACTCATCATTAGTCCACAAACATCGTGTTTGATGATCTTCTCCCACAAATATACAATTGTGTATCACTATTAATCATCTATGAACCATTGACAATATTCCATTGTATCTGGTTGAACATAGTTGTTGTATGTTGTTGTTATCACATGGCCATTTGGAGATGATTCCCCTTACTAACCATAAGTCCAGTGACGTCAGAGTAAGGTCAGAAAAAATAAAAACATCCAGAATAATCGAGCTGGTGACCAGTGAAAACACCAACATATCCCGACATATAATACTCTCAATATATACTATATATATATGTATATATATAAAATAATATGTAAATATAAAATATATACAGTAATATCTATATATTTATATTTAAAGGTATATAATATACATATATATATATAACCATTACCAGAAATGTGGAAACACTTGCAAAACTATGCCTCAAACAGTCTCTCAATTCAGCGAATTCTCTACGCCAGGTCACTGTCCACTGCTTCCCCCTTGTCTTTTAAACAACATCTGTACCGTACAACAATTATCCAAAAAGATACCGAAAAGTATCGAAACAAGAAGGTAGTTTAATAACGTTTGGAAAATATAGAAAAACCATAGGGAAACCAGGAGAGACAATTATAGATGATAATTTCCTCCATAATTTCCTTCACTTTTCATCCAAGGCCATTGGGTGTCTCAGCCAAGGCCATTGGACCCATGTTTCAACCCAAACCGATGGAATTTATGTCTTCAACTCTTATTCATTTTATACCAGATATCTCAGATCAATCGCCGGAACATCAATTGGGGAGGTACCTATTTTTGGCCATAGTTGTTTGGCCTGAAGGGCCAAATTTCACGGAAGATCCCCAAAACTTAGGGCCTGAAAAATTCTACAGTTCCGGGGCCCACCAGTTATGTCCCGGACCAAGAGTTCCGCTGTGAGCGCAGGGTCATCACTGGGCAATAACCAGACCTGGCATCTGAAATCACAGCACTTGTGAGGGAAATGATGGAAATCATTCAAGATAAATCTATTCACCAAGCAAACCAAGGCTAACTATGTTTAACTATGTATTTGGATATGTATACTCTATATTATTATGTATATCTGCAATTTTGTGAGTTTCATCATCATCATCATCACCACCACCATAATGACCATCATGACCATCATGACCATCATGACCATCATGACCATCATGACCACCATCATCATCATCATCATCATCATCATCGCCATCATCGCCATCATCGCCATCATCGCCATCATCATTGTCATCGACATCGTCATCGTCATCATCATCATTGTCGTCGTCGTCACCATCACCATCACCACCACCACCATCACCATCACCATCACCACCACCATCATCATCATCGTCATCATTAAAAAAACATAATATATTAGAGTTGTACTTGTTTTATATACAGTCGAATCATTTTGTATTATACATATAATAATATTATATATTGTATATACCTGAATATATATATATATACATATTTATTTATCCGTTCAATGTTGAAATTAACCCAACACTTCGCCAAGGTTTACCCAGACACAACTGTTTTTTTACTGCCCTGGGTTTCCCAGCCGTGCGCGATCTATTCAGAAGTTCCTTGGGCATTGCAATGAGTGGCCGCGGGTTGAAATCATGTTGGTGTAGGTTAAACAACTCGTATGCAAGCATGACTAGCGGGGATATTAGAAGATTTTTACCATCAATAACCGAGGAAAAAAACAAAAAACTAGGATGGTAACTTAACCATCAATAACAATCAATCAACAGTAACAAATCATGAATGAATAGCTAATCACTCATCAAAGAATAGTCCCATGGGAGAACGCCAGCTGTATGATGCACGTCATGTACTTCAATTTCAACGTACTTCATATACACATTGTGAACCCTCCAGTACTCAAACGTAGCAATGGAAAATACACCATAATTTTCCCGTTGATCGGGATAACCATGGAACACTTGTTGAACACACTCTGGAAAACCATGCATTTGTTTGAAAACTTTCGAAAAAAAAGAACCCAAGTCCCCAATTTATCATATATATATATACATATATACAGACATATTTGTTATAATATATATATATATATTGTATATTGTTGTAATGCATGAGTCGGGCTGTACGCATTCGACCCCCAGAGGCGTTTTGGAACTTTGGAATATCTATGTGCCGAGGCTTTTGGTTTCAACCAATTGCGAAATGCAATTTGAGTAGCTCAAAATCAGTGATTCCCCCAAAAAAAGGATGGTGAAACTTGTGAAATAACCCAGACAATACCAGCATTTCACCAACTTGTTGGGTTGGTATCCCACCAGTGCACCATTTTCTTTGACCAAGCTTCGTAGAGCAGCAAGAAATCACGGGAAAGACGCAATGGGAGGCACCTGAAAACCATGGGCAAATGGTGAGTTCACCACGAAACATAGGGAAAAATAATGGGATTTAAAGCCCTAGAAACATTTTTTTTGTTTGATGGTTATGGCTAGTTTTAGATGGGGTTCCTTACTGTTACTGGCCATTCTTGGGTTGATTCCCCATACAAACGCATCGATGCACCATCAGAAACCTTCATTTGGTGCTGCTGTCCTTATGATTCGCAGAGATTTCCTCACCCCAAATTTGAAGGGTGACTTTGGTGGTTGACCTACCCCTCTGAAAAATATGAGTTCGTCAGTTGGGAGTATGACATCCCCAATATATGGAAAGTCATAATCAAGTCATGTTCCAAACCACCAACCAGTCATATAAACCCTCTGGTAAACTAACATAGCTATTGAAAATGGCCATTTATAGTGGACTTACCCATTGAAAATTGTGATTTTCCATATAAATCACCATTTTTCCATGGTTTTCCCATGGATTTTCCCATTAAATTTGGTGATTTTCCATATCAACAGGACCCAGAGACATCAACACTGCGATCGCCCAGGTCACGCAACCCCCAGGTCACCATGCCTCAAGAGGGAAGAAACCGCCAGCACGCCCCGTTTCAGATCCCCTGGCGCCAACAGAAATGGAGCTTGATTTATCAGTGAATTTATCCAGCAAGGGTGCCAATTGACTAAACTTGGGTCCTGTGTCTTTTAAAGAACCATATTGAAGACAACACTGGGGGATTTATATAGTCGTTCAAAAAACAAACTGGCGGCTACACCACTGCAATTGATTGTTCCGGTAGTTCCCATAGCATCCATTTCATTCATGCCAGACTCACAGCAACCAAAACTGTTTTGTGGCAACATGGCCGAGCTGGTCGATTTCAAATTACCCACTTCGGAGAAAAAAAACGCCGCGGTTTTTTCTCGGTTGTTTTGGGCATTTTGGGTACATGGATAAAAAAAAATGGGCAGCTTTAAGAATGGATGGCACCAAACTTAATCCGTGCTCCTGGGCATTGACTTTTGACCCACAGCCATGATAATTCCAAAAAACTGCGCCTGGTTCATCTTGCTCCAGAAAGAGGGCGTGAGACGGTCCCTGGGTGCCGAATGGACTCAAAAGGCTGAGGAGAATGGACATAGAATCGACACAATATGCGATAACAATTGGACAATATACGATATAACATAGGGAAATCCTAGGAACATAGTATTATTTGAATTTAAATGATATGTATCCCACACAATGGATAATAGATGATAATAGTGGGATACTTGTCACCATTGGGAGAATTTGAAAGGGCATTTCGAACACATTGGATACTCAACAGAACCAATGGTTGCCTCGTTGAAAATGACCAATAACACAGATGATTTTGGCTTTCAACCAATTTAGGAACAACGGAACAACATGGAACAACGGTAATTTAACATAGCTATTGAGATGGCCCATTGATAGTTGATTTTCCTATTAAAGATTGTGATTTTCCATAGCTATGTTAGTTTACCAGAGGGTTTAGCCATATTTTGTAGGGATATTCCCTTACATAGGCCATTGATTATCATGTTCAAAACCATTTCAGGAACAACCTAATTATCTTCCAATTGGATCAAATTGGGTGTAAAATCAATCACACCGGTGATAGAACAATGCTACCCCATTGTGCCCTCACCATGTAAATCAGCTGGATTCATCTGTGAAAGGAAATGATCATCATCTGAGACAAAAAAAAATGTTTCTTGAATTCCACATGATAAACATATGGATTTTCCCAAAAACCATTTGTTTTCCATTGATAATCATCAAATTTTGGATGATTCTTGGGTCCCCCCAATTTTAGGAAACCCTCAATTTGGCACCATCCACTTGACACTTGATCAGAATATCCTGTAGAAAATTCCAACTTAACGATCGTGAGATGGACTTAAGATCCTCCTAAAACTCTGTATAGAGAAACCCACCAGGTATGTTGTGTTCAGCTGCCCAAATCGATAAAAAAAGCTCGACCTGGTGAATCCCAAAACGCGGAATCCAATAGTTCTACTTACTGGTGCGTTAAACGCAGGGAATTTTCGGGAATGATCCACTGGCTAACTATCAATCATAATCCCAGCAACCCCGAGCAACCCATCCAGCAACCCTACGTACTTAGCACCAGAATAGTTTTATGACTCACCCAATTTCACACTTCGGTTGGTTCAGTACATCATAACTGGAAATTCCGTGCCACACAATTTCTGCTCAAATCCTTGGCTGGTCAAATCCCTCTCGTTGGTTGAATATGTGAAAAAAAACAATGTTTGATGACAACAATTCCCGTTTTCTTGGCTGATTTTATATCCCCATTGTTGAATTTGTTGATGATTAAATAATGTCCACCTCTGATTTATAAAAAAAAACCCCTCCCCTCTCTGACCCTAAATAGACTTAAAACCACCATCAAACTTGTTTGTATGTAAAGGTTTTCAATTACCACAATTGAAAACGAATACATAAAATGCAATTTCAAAAAAAACAGGAATCCAACAATTGTTTTAGTATTGATCTAGTACTCATGTCATGGATTTAGTATTGATTTAGTATTCATGTCATGGATTTAGTATTGATTTAGTATTCATGTCATGGATTTATTATTGATCTAGTACTCATGTCATGGATTTTGTATTGATTTAGTATTCATGTCATGGATTTAGTATTGATCTCGTATTCATGTCATGGATTTAATATTGATTTAGTATTCATGTCATGGATCTGGGCAAATCTGGGTTTAGGGCCAAAAAAAATTAGCTTTATTCAGGGTCAAACTCTAATTGGTGGTAAGGCACCTAATGGTGGGTACCCTTGATGAGTTGATTTGGAGTTGATTTTGGATCAGTTTAAGTAAAGGTTTTGAAAAGAAAGAGCATCCATCATTTTTGACAATTTCCAGCTATCATTTTTGAATAAAGGTTTTGGTCAGCCCCATCTGGGCAAATCTGGGTTTAGGGCCAAACAAATTTAGCACTATTCAGGGTAGTTTTATTATTTAGTTTGGGAGAAAATTTAGAACTATTCAGGAAAGTTTGATAAATCGTAGGTCAACATTAGTTTACCCTCTGGTCATTTAACATAGCCATGGAAAATCACCATTTTTAATAGGTAAACCATCTATTTCTATGGGCCATTTTCCATGGCTAGGTTAAATAACCAGAGGGTAAATCCCAAGTAAAAATCCTGTTTCACCTGGACATGTTCTCATCCTGCGCAACATGCATCCCCTTGGGGCCGGCCTCGACGTCGGGAGGCGACTCCTGAGATTTCATTGGAACCAGCGATCATGAGAAAAGACCACTCATTTGTTCCAAATCTAATAAGAAAATGGTTGGTGGTTTTAACCATCTTGAAAAATGATGGAGTTCGTCAATGGGAAGGATGACATCCCATATATGAAATGGAAAATAAAAGCCATGTTCCAAACCACCAACCAGGAAAATATGGGGATATAATGGAATATAATGGAATATGATGGTATATTCATGGGATTTAACTTTTTACCTTATTTAACCATCAACAATAGGATTTCCACGGGATTCAATGAAGATTTAATCAATGTTGATGGATAACTGGAAACAAAAACGAACAATAGTGATATTCTGGGCATCTAACTAAGAACATGAGATATCTTATAAGTGGTTTAAAACCAATGACAAAAACTGATTGTCTCAAATTATAAACGCATTTCTATGCTCAATTCATGCTCTAATCCCGTACTGTAATCCCAATAAAAAAAAAAACATATGCTACCAGCTAGCACAAAAATCGGCGTGGTTTTGTTCCCCGATGTTCCACCCCATTCATGTGAATACTTTGGTGCAAGGTGGTGCCCCCCAAGTTATGTGAATGTTGGTTTATAATCCCATGAAAACTGTAGATAATATGATATATCACCAACAAAAACCCTAGTGATTGGAGTTATAAACCAACTGAACGGTATCGAAAGGGGGCACCACCTTGTGATGATTGTTTTTTGGGTTTACCCACATGATGTTCACCAACCCCCCACTGTCCAGCATCAGACTCAATGGTTCCATTGGCACGTTATCCAATACGACTTTGCCACCTTGGCAGTGTAGAGAGACAAAAGGGCCCAGCCCAGCTTCAACCAACAAGAGTGGGGGGTTTTACCAGCAAAAATTGGGTTTCAACCAAAAAAAATGGGGAGTTAGATGGAATTCTACCAGCAACAAAATTGAAATCATTTGAACTTAAGTCTGGTTGGTGTTTGACCTACCCCTCTGAAAAATATGAGTTTGTCAGTTGGGATGATGACATTCCCAATATATGGAAAGTCATAATCCAGTCATGTTCCAAACCACCAACCAGAAGTGGATTTTTTGTCACCATACAACTGGGATCGATCGTGAATTTGACTGATGGTGAAGGTGGCTTATGATTGGCTTGCCAAGAGTTCCCCTGGTGAAGACTGCGCTAAACATGGGTAGCCAATCGCGACGAAGGAAGGGAATGTATAAATGGTGTGACCAGAAACGATTGGAAACAAAATACCAAAACTTTTACCGGAAAACATTGGAATTAAAACTACGTACCCTATTTCTGAGACAGACCGCCATAATGATCTAAATAAGACACAATCATGATCAGTTTCAAGTATTCCTAATACTGATTAAATCAACAACAGCAACACCAACAACACATACTCAACCAAGGTTTTCGGAATTCACTCACAAGCTGATTGGTTTTCCAAACATGCTCACAATTTGCACCAGGCTGACTCCATGGAGAATCGCCTGGGCCCAAATCGTGACGACCGAGCTATGCCTTGAAAAGCATCAAATCACTCAGGGACCCGGCTCCATTTGTGTTTGTTGGTGAATATGATCCCCATCTGACAACAAACAACAACGAATCCACCATCATTCCTTAAGGGCGAGCAAAAGACAATCGCTAACTCATCCATTATTACCATCTATTACCATCTATTGTCTATTACTATTACCATCTATTACCATGGAATTATAGTATTACCATCCATTTACGGCATTTCTGCTTCTTACCATCTGAAAATCCATGTGGTAAACCCAACCATGGCTGCCAGCCATTGCCCACTGAAAATCCCCGGGCTTCCCGGACGCTCCAGGGGGCCGGGCCTTGATGCGGGGATGCCACGTGTAATGTCCAAGGTTTCAGTCACAACATGTACTATATGGCTAGCCGTATGACTAGCTGTTCTTCACCGGTACTTCCGGGAATTGCCGCCTGAGAAATTGTTTCTGGTTCCAAAGAGTTTTGAGACTAACATACCCAAGACTCACCTCAGGGTTTTCAAAGACAAAAAACGGAAAGACATGGCGCATGTTCATACCTTAGTTGGACAATGATCTAACGCACCATATTCTGATGGTAAAAAACTGCGATGTTTCTCTGGTTCCACGGTGACACCGCTATATTTGTGTTTGTAAAGCTCCCCATTTTTCATGTTTAAATCGTATCCTTTTGTTGGTTGCTTGGCTGTACTCCAATGTCTGATCATTAAATCACAATGTTCATTAGTTTTACACCAGTTTGTGCTAGTCAAATCCATATGTTGGTTGATTCTACCCATATGAGTGTTTTTTTGTTAAATCACAATATGTTCTTGTGGCTACCATACCTTTGTATGGTGAAAAACATATCTTTTGATGGTTAGTTCCCGAGTGTTTATTCTATTCAATTAGGATGTATGGAAAAATACCATGAAACAGTTCTGATCAATATTGATCAATACGGATAAACAATGATCAACATCTCAATAACCATTAATAGTGATGCTAATTAATAAACCTATGGGAATTGACAAAACAGTTCATCATATGGCTTTGTCTGAAAATGCTGTATACCATTGCCCATGACGGATCCATGGTGCTGCCATATATGGTGTGCCATGGATCCCATTAATATACCCCCTTTATGTTAGCATATATACAATGGATATCCATGGATCCTATGGGTTGTATACCCCCAAAAAGTGTTCCCTTTACCCTCTGGCTATTTAACAGTTCGCCATGGTATATTGATGGCCCATAGAAATATGGAGTTTACCTATTAATAGCATGGGTAGATCTTTCCATGGCGAACTGTTAAATGACCAGAGGGTAAACTATTTAATCATCAACAAATTTAACCATAACCAGATGGTAAGTCTATTAACCATTAACCATAGGTTACCCATATATTAACCATAGATTAACCAGAGGGTAATCGGAAAATGTTCCTGGAAAATGATGATCAGCCAATAGGACAAGCTACGTCCCCAGGTCCTTGGAGCGTTGCAGCTGCACTTTCTTTCGGCCGAGGCCGCCTGGCGGTGACGTCATGGTGGCTGGACCTAACCATGGTGGCTTTGGGATTTTGTCATGGGAATTTGTCATGGGATTTAATGGGGCATTTATGGAATTTAAGTGAAAGTTAATGGTATTTAATGGGATTTAGTGGGAGTTTAGTGAGAGTTTAATGGGACTTGATGCCTAGAAATGGTGATTTAATGGGATTTGAATCCCATGTTTAACTAGTTTAAGTATAAAGATATGGTGATTTCATGCTTGTATTTATGGGAAGTTACCCAAAACATCTGATAAAAATCAGTGGCAAAATATGGAAATCATCTGTCAATTCGATATGAATGGGATATTAACGGATAACTTGTTTGGGATATCACTGGATTCAAGGACATCGACCAGCGATTTAAGTCACAAAAGTTTGCCAACTGGAAATCACCAGTTATTACACTTCGAAATCACCATGTTTAAGATGTTATAGCTGGCTCAATCAACTGCTGGTTGGTGGTTGACCTACCCCTCTGAAAAATATGAGTTCGTCAGTTGGGATGATGACATTCCCAATATATATATATATATAGAAAAATAAAATTCATGTTCCAAACCACCAACCAAATCACCATCATATTCCCATTGTTGTTGGTTTATACCCTATTAACCACTATTAATATCACTATTTTCCAAACCACCAACCAGATAAATATGGCCATGTCCATTTTCCATGATCACTGGAGGCTATGAGATCTGACTATCATCAGGTGAGTTGGCAGTTTTTGGGTCAGGTTTTGAGGGGCTGGGATGAAACAAAAAACGCTCCACAAAAAAGGTGGAATAATTGTTTTTGGATTGTTAAATATTGTTCATCTCAGCTCCACAATTTGAAAATGTATCTTGTATTGTTATCACTAAGATATCGATGTTTTTTTATATTCCAAAAATGGATCATATTGTCAGCAATACTTGGCAACGGGTTTTGATAAGAAATGAAACAGTCAACGCGGGTGGTCCAGAAATGGGAATCAAAAATAAGACTGATCTTAATGGCAATCTCAATGGGGAAAATTATGATTAACCAAAAGGATGTTGTGTTTCAGACAAAAGCTATACATTACTAGCATCCTATCTTAGTGATTGACATGTTAATTATTCCATTTAAGATTTCAATGAATGATCACTTACAGGTTCAATGTTTGGTCTATTAATATCTATTAATCTATTAACAAAATGGGGTTCACATTTTGGTCCATTTCAGGATTTATTTGCACCATTGGAAACATCTACAAATCATTTTTTTGTTGGATTTTGTGCTAAATTTCAGGATTTGATCATGTTCACCCATATATGTTTGTCCAGATCTGATCTGATGACCCCATGACCCCGGCAAGATCAGATCTTTTTGTGTCGGACAAGATGCACGGTCGCATTCCACGATGACCGGCTTCCCATGCCACGGAAGGGCCCGCTGTGTGCCGTACAACATACAGCCCCCTCCCCCGTGGGCTCCAGGACTTGCTTCAGAACATGTTGGTGATTGGGTTCAGAATAGTTTTTGGATATTTTTTTTTGGCTCAGGTTCTGGATTTTTTGGCTTTCTTTCCTGGTACCATTTGCCTTGTATTTGCAACAGTTTTGAACTAGAATCTGTCATTTTGCACGGTATTTGCTACGTTTTGGTGTGGTTACTTTGCATTTTGCATGGCGTTTACTTCTGAAACTGCCCAGAACAACCAGGAACAACAGCCAGCTACAACCGGTTGAATCCCCATTTGTACAGTGCCCTTAACAGCAACGGGCTTATAATGATTGATAACCTTTGTTGGAGTTATAGTCACATTCAAAAAACTTGCAAAAGGGCCATCACTGTATATCCCTTTGCTATCCCAAAATTCAGTATACCGCCGAAGTAGCTGAGACAACTCCGGCGTAGTATATTCCCATTAGTTCCATCTGAATTCATGAGGATATTTCTGAAAATTGGAGGAACCCAAAAACGGTATTTTCTTCCCATGAACAATGACCTTTGGATGACAAACGCCCGTCCCGTTTTCACGAAGTTGCTGGCTGATGAGTGCCTGGCAGTTAAATCCCTGAAACAAATCTGGTGCCCCCAAGTTATAAGTTGGTTAATAATCCCATTAACTATAGATATATCACCTATAAACCATAGCTATTGGAGTTATGAACCAACTTAGCTATCTAGGGGGCACCACCTTGTGTTGATCTAACATGATCCATGGGTGATTCTTCGTTAAATCCATAAACGTAGCACACCCCATCTAATCTAATCCCATAGCATCCCATCTAATCCCACTATTGCTGGTAGAACGCCCATGATATCATCATAATGTCCAATATCTAACATCATATCATATTAAATCAATGGAACATCATTGAACATCATCAACCATCATTAAACAACTCATCAAACGCCAGTAAACTGTATTTAAACAAACACGTCACAATTAAAACCCTTAACAATGATATGGTGGTTATTTCATGCATATATAAAATATTGAATAAATATTGTAGTTTCAGTTTCAGGAGTTATTTCATCCCATGGCCACAACTGGTTTAATAGTGCCACAACTGCATCATTGTCAAACCCACAGTTCTGGCGCAAAATACCTTTAAGTGACCCCGGGAAAGAATATGGGATCAACATGCACTGCAACGTCTCCTCCACTGTGTTGAATAAGGCTATGTCCATGCTGTTCACGGCCGGCTTTAGGCGTCTCCCTGACCCTTTCTTTTGGATTTTGTTACCAAGCAGTTTCTCCCTTCTTGTCAGGTTTTACTGAACAACATCTAACCCCATTTATAGCCACTGTTCTTTCAATTTACCAGTTAGAAGTCAGTGAAAACAAACCATGTATGGCATGATTGATAATTACTATCATTTATAACCATTTATCACTGGTACTTCGGGCCTTAAATCACATGAAATCCATTTTTTCTTGGTTCATTGGCCACCCCGCCTCCATCGCTGTCGCCCTGGCTACCCTGGGTCACGTGTCCTCGGGCCTGGCTTCACCATCTGCACATGGCGGTTTAAACAATGATGATATCTATCATCTAACTAAAATTAACTACAGTATATACAACATTGGTAAATCAATATCATATACATGACCAAATTTGATCATATGGTAAATGTATACATATATATATATACACAAACTATGGTAATAGTTGGTGTCATATGATGATATATCACGGTTAAATCATTAGCTTTTTACATGCACTATGACTTATTCAGGAGTAGATAAACATATGCAAAATTCAAACATCCTAACTAAAATTGGTAAACATAACATAAATAGATCCAATGTTCTATGTACTCCATGATTGTTGTATCAAATTATCATGTCTTAAATCATGTTCATTTGTTACCATGATATGACAATAATATTGAGATATACATAATCATATACATAATTATTAAGAATCCGCACTTAAGGGACTTTCATAGGCCTTGAGGAGGAGGAGGCCTCAAAAGTGGCGGGCTGCCAGCTTCTTTGTTTTTCACTGTCAACTGTTCCTGCCAGATGCTGACCATGCTGTGGAGCTTGATGTTCTCTCCCGCCAGTTGCTCCACACGGCAATCCTTCATCTCTCAGCCCAGCCACCAGGCACACTGTCCCGAAACCGTCAAGTGTGAGATGGGAACCAGCTCTCTCTTCAGCTCGGTGACCCTGCCATGTCTTGTTTCTGTGCAACAATCTGATCACAAGCGCTGAAAAGCTTGGCTGGTTGGTGGTAAAACAACCCCTCTGAAAAATATGAAAGTCAGTTGGGATGATTATTCCCAATATATGGAAAGTCATAATCCAGTCATGTTCCAGTCACCACCAACCAGTTGGTGTTCGTCACCGGGACCCTCAGTCGCAACACGATGATCTGAACATAGTCCACTGGAATCTAGCCATCGAAATCTGGATTTGAAGAGATACCCTCTGGTTACTTAACATAGCCATGGAAAATGTCCCATAGAAATAGATGGTTTACCTATTAAAAAGGGTGATTTTCCATGGCTATGTTAGTCATAACCAAATGGTACCATGGATTGACCCTGGCCCATTGTTGGGGATATACACTAGTGAGGTGGAAGCCTTAGATATGTCAAATATGATGGTCACTTTAAATGGTAACAGAACAACCAAAACAACATACACACAGAAAAAAATATAGAAAGGACAGACACATGTACTGTAAATAAAATAATACAACATGGTGCCCCCGCAGTCGTAAGTTGGTTTATGAACCGTAGTTACTATAGATATATCTACCACAAACCCTATAGTGAAATTGAAGTTATGTTTGCCGACTTAGCGAACTTTGGGGCACCACCTTGTAACTACCATGTCAAACATGACTTGGTCAATGGATAACCCAAAAGTTGATGATTTATCATCAGATTCCCGATCAAAATGCCTAACCAAATGCTATACCCCATTAACTTCAGATACCAACATTTACAAACCTACGGATGGTATGCCCTATACAAACTTGGGAGGTATTATATGGATAAACCCTATACAAAGCTACAGGATGGTGCCCAGTTATGTGTGTTGGTTTATAAACCCCGTTCACTAGTTCGTCATGTCTACCATAAACCATAGTTAAACCACTTATTTCAGGCAACTTAGCTATCTTGGGGGCCCCATCCTTTATTGTTGGCTATATATCACCATCATATTCCCATTGTTGTTGGTTTATACCCTATTAACCACTATTAATATCACTATTAACCACCATTAAATCCCATTAAAGCAGCATTAAATCACCATTTTCCTATGGTAAATCATCATTTTCCTATGGTAAATCATCATTTTCCTATGGTAAATCACCATTTTCCTATGGTAAATCATCATTTTCCTATGGTAAATCATCATTTTCCTATGGTAAATCACCATTTTCCTATGGTAAATCATCATTTTCCTATGGTAAATCAACATTTTCCTATGATTTTCCTATGGTAAATCATCATTTTCCTATGGTAAATCACCATTTTCCTATGGTAAATCACCATTTTCCTATGGTAAATCATCATTTTCCTATGGTAAATCACCATTTTCCTATGGTAAATCATCATTTTCCTATGGTAAATCACCATTTTCCTATGGTAAATCATCATTTTCCTATGGTAAATCACCATTTTCCTATGGTAAATCACCATTAAATCACAACCACCGCATTCAGATAGCGCTCCACAACCGTCGCACCGCTGAGATCTGCAGCACGCTGCGATGCACGGCGCTGCGCGCGCGGAGCCTAGGGCGACTTGGCGACGTCCGGTGGTCGGGAAGATGCCTGGGGAGGTTTCGGTACACCCATCTTTGGATCATAGTAATGGGATGATCATCTATGGTTATATGGTAGATATTAATGATATATAAGTGAGACTACAATGTGGGGCCCCAGTGATGGAACGATGGTTTATAAACCCCATGAATACTATAGTTATAGGTAGCATTTTTACCATAGTGAAATTGGAGTTATTTGCACCAACTTAGCTATCGAACGGGGGCCCTACTTTGTAGTAATGGGATGATACTAATATTACTATATATTACTAGTACTAAAAGGAATGATGAACATAATGGGATAACAGTGTTATTATGGATTGGTTTACGGGACAATTTACAACAACAACACATATATTTACTGTAGATTTCCAAAAACATTATCCCATCATGGTCATTAAAAAACAATAATAAACCACCAATCAGTGGTGAAAATTTCCATCATTTTTTCCTGTAGATTTTCGCAACAAAACAATAATCCAATGAATTTACCAATGACCATGGTCTGATTTTTTGACCCAGAACTGATATGGGTCTGGGTCAAAATTGGGTACCCAAAAAAAGTAGGTGGTTCATATTAAACAGAAACTAAACTATGTGGTTCCATGGGGCGCAAATTTGACCTACACCCATGTGTATATATAAATATATATATAAATATGTATATATATATATATTACTACTAGTACCATGGTTAGGAAGTCTTAACCATCAACACAAAGGGACTACTTCTGGGTTTCAATGCGATTGAAAACTGGGATTCAATATGATTCAAGGGGTCTATCCAACAGAAATGGTGATTGAACTGGACTCAATGGGCTTTTAAGCAGACAAATTGGCATTTAATTAGGAAATCAATGACAGGATATGAATCTACATGAACAAATATGGGATAAGTACGGGATATGATTCAATTATGGGATATGAATCTAATTGATCCATGGCATTGTTGAATATACTTAGCTTCCCATTGGAAATGAAGTTGCAAAGCTAACTCTTTCGCAACGTTTGGATGCAGTGAACATGGCATTTTCCAAACCAGAAACTTTGGATCGTCCAAGGCCGTTGAGATGACCAGCTTGGTTCTGCAAACCAGCTGCATAGTATCTGCCATCATCTCGAACAGAAGCTTTGCCACGGATCACCGGCACTTGCTGTTCCTGGGCTGGTGGCGGTGGGCACTTCAAGACTGGAGGCGCCATCTTAGGAGGTGGTGGTACTGGTTGGCCATGAGCAGGTCCTGGTGCCATTGCCTTATTTGTGCAGCCAGGCTGAAGGGTTGGCACTGCTGGCTGAGCGGAGCCTGAAGACAACTTTGGTGGCGGCGGCATTGGGGACCCTGTCCATGGTGCAGGAGCAGCCAGTAACCGACAGCTGACGTAGCTGACCTTTGTAGATCATGGCGCCCGCCGAAACGAATGGCTTTCCACAGTGAAACTTACCAGATGGCATTTGCATATATGCTTCTACCAGTGCAAAAATATGTAAGGAACCAAGAAAAATATAGTGTGATATGTGTATGTAACAAAATGATATAGTATGGACATATTATGGGTCAGAATGTTAATGTTCTATGCTCATGGATACTGAATCTGTTTATATTGTTAGGACCCGCACTTTTAGTCAAAGTATGGATCATGAGAGAAGAGAGGAAAAAACTACAAAATGCTGCACATGCGAAGCATTGCAAAGCCCTCAGGAATACAAAATCCACCCACTATATGTGGAGAAACACCCGAATGTAGCAATGTGATTCTGACACCATGCGAAAACAGCCCACTCACAACGGAGATGTACCTAAAAGTCGTGGGAAACTCAGTTGGAAACAGTAGAAAAACCCTAACTTCTTCAGGGTTCTGGCCTAAGTTATTTGTCACAGGTGATGTGTCATTGTCATCTCTCTTATCTCTATAAATCATGTTCATCTGGTTGGTGGTTGACCACAACCCCTCTGAAAAAATATGAATGAGTAACAGTTGGGATGATGACATTCCCATATATGAAATGGAAAGTCAGAATCCAGTCATGTTCCAGTCACCACCAACCAGATCATTATCATATTCCCACTGTTGTTGGTTTATACCACATTAACCACTATATTAACCATCACTATTAACCATCATATCCCAGCAACCCATCCAGCAACCCTACGTACTTAGCGCCAGTAAGTCATCCATTTCCCCAACGATGGTTTTTCCAGACCCCCGAAATCCTACAGGATCTCGGCTGGGACTCCCGGACTCCCAATTCGCCTCTTCCGAACCTTGCCGGCAGAAGCGCACGCTTCTGCTACGCTGGAACCATGGGGATTTGACAGGATTGCACCCAAATATAAGGATGAAACAAATACAGAAACAAACATGGCTATTGAAAATTGTGATTTATAGTTGATTTACCCATCAAAAATGGTGATTTTCCATAGTTATGTTAGTTTACCAGAGGGTAACCCATGTAAGGATGATATAACATGATATAACCAGAAAAAGAAAAACATGTGTGGAAACCAGCCATGAAAATGGTGAAGCCGATGCCGAGGGTGTTACCCTATTTGGGGTTGATTGATGAGTTTGCACACATTAGACAAGATTCATCATGGCAGACTGTGCGTAGGACCTAGAACCAATGATTCGTTTCAATGCCGTATTACCTTATGTATGCTAGATCTCGTTACATGTACATCAATTGTTTGAGAAACCACCAATGGTCGGCAAGCATCCAATAGATACATACACGACATAGGTATCATCAAAACAATATACATATATATATATATATCACGCGCACACGACGTTGTTGAAGCCCCAGAGTTGCTGCTTGACAGCTTTGGTAATTTAACATAGCTGAGAATGGCCCATTTGTAAATGATAAAAACATACTACTTAAAACTGGTTAACCTGGTTATTTTCCATAGTTACAGGCTGAGGCTCTCCAGATATCTTTGTTGGTTAAAAAAAATCAACTGTTTCCATGGTGGCTAGCTAACAGTTATATTCCCCAGAAACCCACACGAAAAAAAAAAAAGAAAAAACACGTTGGTTCTTTGCGTCAACTTAGCTATTGTTTGACGGCCGAAAAGCGCGTGCTTCTATGTTATCTCAATCCGTTTATACTCTATTAGCTTTCCAATAATTCTCCGTTCATATCCCATTAGCAGATGATTTTCCAAAGCTTTGTTAGATTACCACAGGCTATATCCATTGATGCCGGTCATCAGCACGGATCTTAGTCATCTCCAAAAACCACAACATCAATGGATTGGTGCTGAGCCAGAGATGCGAGCCAGAGAGACTGACCACGGCAATGACCCACGAGTTTTACGATATAATTCGAAATCAAATTCTAACCCATAGGATCCATGTATGGTTTATTTGCTAACATTTGGGGTATATTGATGGTAAATGCGTAAATGCTACCATATATGGCATACATGGATCCTATGGGTAATAGTAGTAGTTCAGCCCTATTAGTATTAGAATGCTATTAGTTACCCTCTGGTAAATTAACAGTTCGCTAATGAAAATGGCCATAGAAATAGTGGATTTACCCAGCTATAAAATGGTGGATCTTTCCAGTTCGTTATGTAAACGTTTACCAGAGGATATATTCCCATTAAATCCCATTAAACCACCATAAAACCACTGTTAGTGAAAGATAAACCTCCATTTTCCTATGGTTTTCCTATGATTTTCCCATTTGCCAGAGGGTAGAGCCATTCACCAATTCCACGAAATTCACCAATCTTCACCGATATAACAAACAAGTCGTTGTTCCTCGTCACCTTCCGAGTCTCCCGGGTGTTTTTAGAGTCTGGACCGGGGGAGCATCATTCCAAGGATGAACATGCCACAAAACGCCTCCGGTATACTATACAAAAAAACGATGGGAAATCACCATCTGTAAGAGGTAAATCACTTATTTCTATGTGTCATGTTCAATAGCTATGATAAATTACCAGAGGGTAATTACGTGCAAAAACAAGCCACCGGAATAGAACATAATGTGTTAAACCCATGCTAAACCCCATCATAAGCTATCATCTATTCAGCATCTATCCAGAATACATCCCCGTTACCGTTACATGGTAATAATCATGAACCAACCAACTAAGCATGTATCAATTGACATCAATTGAGCATTTATTAACATGATTGCCCTAGGAATGTGACAATCCCCTAAAAATTGGTTAATTGGTTAGCATAGTCCCCGGACTGATCATCAACCAACGGGGCATTGGAACACTGCTCGCTTACTAATCCCTATGATTAAGTCCATATGAAGTTCCATTATTTTAATCATCATTATACTATATTCCAATTAATCCAAATTGAAGAAACAAATCGACATTATTTCAACAAGTTCCCACAAATTATTCCAACATTGTTATATTTCATATATATATATAATCCTTATTTCATCATAATCATCATAATCATCATAGTCATCATCATCATCATCATCATCTTCTATAAAATGGTAATATAAATATATATATATATATATACATATGGATTCACTTATTAATCATGGTTCTTGGTTAACCATGAAACATGTCCAATGAATCCGCTTGGATCCGCTTGGATCCGCTTGCCGTCCAGCCGCTGGCTCCCAGGAGATCCAGCAACGCAGCTTCCTGCGGACGCCATGTGGCTGGAGCTTTCCCCCGAACGAAATACGGAGGTTTCCCCACATATCCAATGTTGTTGCGAATGGTGGCAAAAGCCTCTATGAGAAATAACCAGCCTGTAGAAAACGAAGATCGATGAATAGTGATGACCCAGCTTAGATCAAAACCTCAATACTTTCCCTTTGGTAAATTAACATGACGACCCTGCCAGTCATCGGGGTTGGAAGACTAGTTTCCACTATAAATTGGTCATTTCCGGGGTCTATGTTAATTTACCAGATGGTAAAAACATCTATAAATGGATAAAGAGAAACGGTGCTAAGACTAGTTCTTAGTTTGTCTTATTTCTTCCTTTGCGTTTGCGTACAAAAAAGCGCCATGGTAAAGGTGTATGCGGCAAATTGGTGCTTTTACATGCAAACTGATGATTTCGGCTGCAACATGGTGTGGAAACCACAAATCTCGTCAGAAAAATACTACCCTCTGGTCTGGTCATTTGATAGTTTGCTATGGAACATCGCTATTTTATAGCTAGGTAACTCATTATACACCAATATTGATATACTAACAAAAAATAAATAATCTTTAAATATGCAAATCATCATTTTTATCATCTATTTCTCTGGGCCGCGGCTTTCATAGCAAACTGGTCAATTGGAAACTACACGAGTTCTGCCTCCGGCCTGTTCTGGGGAAACATGGTCCCTACAAGGTGCCCCCTAGATAGCATAATTGGTTTATAACTCCAATAACTAGGGTTTATAGGTGATATATCTACAGTTAATGGCATTATAAACCAACTTATAACTTGGGGGGCACCACCTTGTAGGTTGCCATGGTCGGCAAAGACTGTATTGAAGCAGGTTGTGTAGAAATGTGCATAAAAATCCCCCTATCCAATCCAATTCGGCCGGCTGTGGCTGGCTGGTGCCCCGCTTGTTGTGGGTTAATTATAGTTATAATTGTCTAGAAAAAAAAGAATGCATAATGAATCAATCATGGTTATAATATGTTATAATGATTTATAATCACCAACAAATTAGCCGGTATAACCCCCATACTAACCAATTCAATACCCCCAGTGATCTGTTTTTCACGCTTCAATTGGCTGCCACACCAACTTTGCTGACCACAACTTCACCTTCTATATCCTGAAAAACAAAGCTGCGCATTAGGGTTAGATTATATGTTGTTTCCAAATGAATTGGACTGGGGGTATCAAGTGAATTTAAAAGAAAAAAACATGTAAAACACCAGGTAAATATTGATGAACCATCTGCAATATGTTTCAGGAAATGATGGCGGAAGTGTCTGTTTTATGTTTCGCGCAAGGTAATCATCCCAGTTCACCCCTGAAACCTGGCTCGTTCATCACCGAGGCTGCTGAAACAGTTACTGGTGGTTTGAACCCCTCTGAAAAATGATGGAGTTCGTTTCGTCAGTTGGGATGATGACATTCCCAATATATGGGAAATACAATGTCCCAAACCACCAACCAGAGTTAATTATGGTTCCTGAACACCCTGCAAATTTTCATGACTTCTAACCGACAACAGAGCACCACTAATTTCCGAAACTACCGAGTGAATGGGGATTATCTTTGGCAAAGATGCGACCTAAGCCATTCCTATCTTTTAGTGCCTAGGGTTAAAGAGCGCGTTCCATAAACATGAAAAAAACATTCTTACTGGATTCAAACGACATAAAACCATCATTTTTGTTAGCAACCTGGAGCTTGAAACCATATCAAACCAGATAACTCTGGCCCTTGGCAATTGTAAATTCGATACAACTCCTGTATCTAGATGGGTGGCACGATTTCCCCATTGCTGCGCCTCTTCCAAGGTCAACAACTGACCCTCCACGGAGTCCCAGCCTCAGATGATCACCCCCATGGTAGAAGCATGTTATATCACATGGTTTCCAAAGATTTCTTGCCAGTGAACCTTCCAAACAATGCATGAGTTCACAATAATTTGTTTTTTTAGCACAATAGCAAACCTAGCCACTAAGCAGGATACAACATTAAGAACAGTTATGTTATATATGATATGACCATATGGTTCAGAAACGTTAAGAACAAATATCATGAGACCAGTATTTGGATGCATAACCTGATATGATCGTAACATCCTAACCAATATTTGGATGTAAGAAAATATATAATTATATTTTCTTAAAAAAACATGTGCACCAAACATGCCTGAAGGTTCTGGATATGCATCCATTATGTCATCCATTAGAACATTATTTTTGATTGGCCCACCCCCATTTCCCTTGAACTTGAACGCTCCCAAGTCTTGGTTCCACAGACCATAATTGGCCCAGGCCAAAAAGTCGGCCTGGCGCCGCTGATTCATCAAAAATGAAGCTGGGGTGCAAGCCATGGCCCATTGTTACTGGTTATATCAGTTATATAGTTATATCCATATTATTAATGGTTATATTCCCCTTAATTAATCATGGTTATATCACCATTTTCATGGTTATATCACCATTACTCATGGCCCAATTTTATAGTGGGACTATGTGACTATCCCCAATGAAAATAGTTCTAATATGACCATACCCTCTGGTAAATGAACAGCTGGACCCTGAAAATAGTTTTTTTAGTTGAGACAAATCTTCCAACCCTTCTCTGTCAGGGTCAATGTTAATGAACTGCAGGGTACACCGGTGATGAACCACTTACAAAGTAGGTCGCATATCAAATCGTCATGGCCAATCTTAGATACCCAATGATCACAATGGCCCGTCTAGATGGCCCGTCTGGCGAAGTAATTACTTACAACCTAAACAGACGTGCAGCGCTGGAATAAAATACATTTACTGGTTAGCGGTTTTAACCCCTCTGAAAATATTAGTCAATCGGAAGGATTATCCCATATATCATGGAAAAAAAAGGTTTGAAACCACCAGCCAGGATGTTTTTTCTCATGGAAAATTTCCATCTAAAATGGATATTTGGGGGTACCCCTATTTTAGGAAACCTCCATTTTTCATCATTTTTCAGCCTTGGATTCAGATCTGCAGACCTGATGGAAACCACCAATCAGATTTATCATTTGTTTTCCTATGTTCTTTACTGCGGTAAGAAGTCTGACCTCAAGACGGGACTCAGGTAGGCAGCGTTCACATTGCAAGGCCAGGGGTGTGTAGGCCTCCACTGGGTGATGAGCACCAAATGCCAAATACAATCTGGTATTCCGAAAAAGCTAGGGCTATGAGCGAAAATGTTCAGCGTGTTCAGTGACTTGCCGATTCACTGCCAAGGTATGCACCCGATCTTCTGGAGCTCAAACCACAAAGATAGCCCCCCGCGGGGCGGCTTGATGGCGCTGAGCGTATCTGGCGAGACGCAGTAGGCCAAAATCTCAAAATTGCCCATGGTGAGCCAAAATTCGAGGAAAAAAAGTGCAGTTCCCCCAGCGATTCAGCCGGGATCATGCTACCAATGTCTGAAAAGTGCGCCTTGAACACAGCCTGGCACCCACAGGTGAAATGATCTCAGCACTGAATGTGGTTTACCCTCTGGTAAACGTTTACAAAAAAGCTGTGGAAAATCATCCCTTTTAATGGCTAAATATAGCAATGTTCAATAGGAAACTGTTAAACTACCAGATTGTATATATATCACCCATATACTCCATGGTGCTACATGTTTTGAATAGGTAAATCATCAAACAACATCATCATATACTTTGTTGTCTGAACTTTCAGTGATTCAACTCATTCCTGACACAGTCCATGTCCATGGACATGTGGGATTGCCTGAAACTAGGGTACACCCCAGCCATATTACTCTATATATGTCATGGGGACATTAATGATAATCCATTGGAATTGGCGGGATATCCAAATATCATATCTAAGGCGCTTATATATCCCATGAAATATCCCCATTATTAATGGTTATATTCCCATTATTAATGGTTATATTCCCATAATTAATGGTTATATTCCCATTATTAATGGTTATATTCCCATCATTAATGGTTATATTCCTATTATTGATGGTTATATTCCTATTATTAATGGTTATATTCCTATTATTAATGGTTATATTCCCATTACTAATGGCTACAGACTCACTTAGACCCGACAGATTCGACTCACTTACACCGCAGGCGCTCACTTGCAACCTACAGGTATTACGACACCATTAGGGTTTCTTCGCTTCACACAAGATATACACAGGCACGACACCTGTGGGGTTTCTTCACACAGGAAGAAGCAGGTACGACACCTTTAGGGTTTCTTTGCTTCACACAGATGTTGGCAGCAGGTTTTTTGTGCATCATGTCAGCTCTAGGTTCTGCCTGCTTTGATGATGATGGCCGTGATGAGGACCGTGATGCACATGCTGGTGTCTCTGATCATGGTATGATTTACCATATATATATAGGTGTTTTATGTCAATGATGCTGATCATGAAGAAGGAAACAAAGGTGATGATCATGAGTTTGATGATGGCATGACATACAATACTAGATACTTAGGTTGATGCTGTCAATGATGCTAACGATGAAGAAACAAAATAAAATATGAAGTCCATGACGTTGATGGTGTTGCTGTTGATGATGATGATGATCATCATTGTTGTGATTTGGTGATGCTAATGATTTTGGTTATGAGCACGATGGTTCTAATAGTGATAGTGATTGTGATGATGAGTCTGATGATGATTATGACATTGATGATTTTGATGATGGTGATGATGATGATGATCATGATGATGGTGATGGTGATGATTATGATGATGATGATGGTGATGATGATGATGATGACGATGATGATGATGATGATGAAGGTGATGGTGATGGTGATGGTTATGATGATGATGACGACGATGATTATGGTGATGGTGATGGTGATGATGATGATGGTGATGATGATGATGACAATAGCACTGATGACAATGGCAATGGTGACAATGGCAATGATGACAATGGAAAATGATCATTAGACATGACCCTGACCCAGAGCCATGATGGCAGTGCAAGCGATACAAGTGACGCAGGCGTAAGCGATGCAAATTTGGTGGTTGCACGCGATACAGCGACCATTATTAATGGTTATATCACCATTGTCAATGGTTATATGCCCATCATTGATGGTTATATCATAATATCCCCTTTACTAATGGTTGTATCACCATTACTAATGGTTATATAAACATGATTTATGGTTATATCCCCATAAAATATCCGCTAGTGATGATAATCCATGTGAATTGCACAGTCTCTCATTAAATCTTTTGGGGTCAACACAAGGCACCTGTAGGTGAAAGGCTTGGAGTTGTTCAAAAAATCACTGGTTGACCTTCAGGAAAAACCCCATTGGTTTTGTTTCAGAATCACTGCGACTCATGTTTTTGATGATATGAGGATAGACTACTCATCCAGTGATTTGATTTTTTGATGTTTTTTATTTTTTTTGAAACATGATGATATATTGATGGTTTTGTCTGAGAATATGGAGAATATAGACTACACCTCAAGAGTTCCGTTTATTTAATCATCATCTTTACTCCAATAACATGATGATATGATGCTGAGATGCTGATATATAACATGGTTCAAATTTTCCTGATGATGATTAATCCCCAAAAGATCCGTTCAATCATGATTATATAATTGTCCAAAAAACATGAAATCATTTAATCCAGCATATCACCATCAGAAAAACAATCATCATCAGTTGTAGCCCTTCACCGTTATAACCGGCTTCTTTCATGATATACCCTCTGGTTCTTTAACCATGGAAGCCATGGCCCATACAACATTATATATGTTGTTGGATGCTTTACCTATTAAAAACATGTAGTAACATGGAGCATATGGGTGATGCCCATCACTTATATTGGCCCAACGAGTGGCCACAGCCCACGAACTTCATCCCATGGAAAAAAAAAACAACAACCGCCACAGCACCTCTGGATTCCAGCCTTCCGGGATGCCCTGCGATGTGAGAAAACACTGCCGATGATTTGTTACTAATCGTGATTAATGTTAGGGTTGTTAATTAGTAACTGGGATTGTTACTTTTTACTGTTCATGGTTGTTAAAATTTACCCAGAATGATTGGTTCTTTGTTGCTTTATAATGTGTTACCAATATTGCACTATCATTATCAATATGGTAAATAATGGTTGACAGATGTTGATCATAACAATCATAATTAATTACTAAATTATAATAATTCACAAACCTGAAATGTTGGGCTATCTTGGGCATGGTTCCCCTTAGTAACCATGATTATAGTGAGGGAACACAGTGAGGCCGTTATAATTTACCCAGAATGATTGGTTTTTAGTTGCTTTATATGTTTTTGTTGATCATAAAACTCCATGAAGTATCTTTCATAGTTATTACCAACGTATTGTTGCCGACATTATCTAATATTAACTAGAAATTGATGAATATAATGAAAATAATGAACATAATAAGACTCCATTATTCATCAATATTCATAGGTATGGGACACATGTTTAATGGGCCAAATCCTTACTTACCCGACAATAATGTTTCTGTGGGTACATGAGCATATCTCTGAATAATAAACAAACAACTAATCTGGGCAAATCATATAGATTAACCTGGTTGGTGGTTTGGATTCCTCTGAAACATATTAGTCAGTTGGGGTTATTATTCCCAATATATGGACAAATAAAGTATGTTCCAAACCACGAATCAGTTCCTATAACTAAATCATTGGAGTTAAGTATCTTAAAAACATCTGGGTAGATGCTACTATTGAACTCAGATGAAATCAGGTCAATATTGGGATAATTTATGATAGTTCCCCTTACAAACCATCGTTCCAGCGAGGTCACATTGAGGTAACTAAAATTTACCCAGATTAATGTAAGCCAATGATTAACTAAATCATTGGAGTTGAGTATTGGGGGATATAGTTAGTTTAATAATTATGTGTGTTTTCGATATTGAAAGTCCACCCAGCAAAAAAGATCATTTGCAGCTCAATAGTGCATACATTTTCATGGCAAAAGCAGCAGCGATTCACTTATCAAACAAAAGTTTAAGGAGAAATGTCACACATTATTTTGATTCTGGCTATAGCTATGGCCCGAAATACCAGTCATAAGTACTAACAAGTCACCCCATTTATGGAATGAATAATCCCATAGAAATCACCAGTTATAAAATAACTACGCGTCATGGCCATTTTGGCCAAGCTTGGGTAGCCTATCATATCTCTCCATTGATTCCCCAGCTGGATCCTGAAAATAACCGATGCTTATTGGAAATTCATCTTCCAACCATCCACGTTCTATGTGAATTTACCAAAGGGTCAATTTTGGAGGCTTAACACCAGATTTGTTGGCACAGGCCCATTAAATACCACTTATTTGGTGGGTTAGAGCCCCACTTCTCTGGTTCCATTCCCAAGGTAGCTGCAACACACATGAGAGAAAAAACATTTTCCCAAAAAAATATATTAAAAACAGGCACTTGATTTCTTCTAGGCGCCAAAAAACCTCGTTTTGGAAACTTCCACCGCATGGCCGGACACTGGTACGCCCGCGTGTGGAACAAGGCCCATGTTTGGAGACCGCGGAACGGCGACGCTGGTCGTGTTCCCGCCGCCACGTGCCATAACCGGACCACAGTGAAACCAGCACTTGGCTACGCTACTCGAAGTGCGACAAGAACATACGCAGTCTTTCTGTGGGAATATGCATTATAATTAAAAGGAATAATGAATCATGTTATTTGTTTGTAGGAATAGTCAAAAGAAACCATCATGTACATATGAAATGATATATGCATTACCTTAGTCATTTTATAGTCCCCATGGCCAGGACAAGAAACAACTACCTCATCTGCCAGCTGACCCCAAATCCACAGGCTGGGCTCTATGCTGAAGACCTTCTAATCTGGCCGAAAACCACCATGATAATATTGCAACTCCAAAATTGACTGTCAATATTGGGATATTAACAACACATAACCATTGGGATATTAACAAAAAATATAACCATTGGGATATTAACAAAAAATAATATGTTTCAACCATTGATGCAATATTATACTGATCCTGTTGAAACAGAAGAGAGCTACTAGACAACAGAGTTCCAGCTGATTCCCATTGCTAGTGCCTTTAGAGCCTAGAAACCCATGTTTGCTGCTGAACATTTTTTCTGGTCGACAACAAATCCGCAATCTATAATCAACTATGTTTCCTTACTAATCATCAATCATGGGCTTTTGGTCGCCAAGCAACGTCTTTGTCAATTTGCCAACATTTTAAACTTTAAATCATGATGTTCCCCAGCAATTCCATAACATATTGACTATCAATCATCATTAGCAGCGTATTATAACTATAACCTAACAAATCCATCTTGGCAATGTCTGGGTGTCTTGTATGTCCCATATCCTTTGAGCTAAGCTTGGTGATCCCACATGTGCCATGGTCAAAACATGGTACCTGGAGTATGGTCATTCCATTCTCAACGGGATTCCAACGGAAATTGGAAAATTAATCCCTATCAAATCCTATTACTGGCTGGGATGACCATCCTCTTCCATGGAAAAATCAACCAGTTCTCCTCCAAGTTTCATTGCCACATGTGTCCTTTCTTCACCGGTTGATATTTCAAATTTAAATGGGGTCACCTCCATTGAACAACTGGCCCATCTACTTGTGCCACCATGGTCCTCCCTCCCACAAAGCAAACTTGGACATTGCAAACACATTCCTGATTTCGATGAAGATTTTGTAGAGAATTCAGAAACATGTTTACACACATATTCTTCGACTCCAAATCATTTTTCAAGTTCCAGTTATAGCCCTTACCAGTTATTTTAGTGGGATTGTAACTCCTGAAGCTATATCAGTGATATTCTTTTATATCATGAAATCAGCGAGGTATAACTACCCCATTTATGGAATAATAACACAATTTTTTATCAACATAAAATGAACTGTTTACGGGCCATATATATCCAGATATTGCATTGTTTGATGGGTTATATCACATTTTTGCACAGCAATGCCTTTCCGTTGAGAAAGTGTTCCGGAAGGGCGGGGGTCAGAAGCTGCAAACAAAGTACAACTCTGGCAATAATGGCCATAACTGTAGGAAATGTGATTTACCCTCTGGTAAATTAACATAGCTATTGAAAGTGACTGATTTATAGTTGATCAGAGGGTAAATCCCATTATATCCCTTGGAAAATCACCATTTCTTGATGGTTAAACCAGTATAGCCCTATGGAAAATCACGATTTTCAAACACTGTTGTTTTTGTATGCTTTTCCAGAGGGTACCCTCCGGTAAACAAATAAAAATCTATGGGACATCACAATTTTTCATGGGAAAATTCACTATTTCTATGGTGGATCTTTCCATAGTTAAATTACCAGAGGGATTATATAAATCCCATTAAATCCCATTAAACCACCATTAAACCACCAACCAGCTGCTGTTTTTTCTATGTTTTTCCGTAACGGCTAACTGCCTCATTCGGCGTCATCCCTTAGTCGGAACGTCCCTGGCGGATCTCGCCTGTCCCTGCCGATGCAGCTGTAACACCAGCTTCAAGCGCAGGACCGCCGCGCCCAGCCGTGCATCTCCTGACGAGTCATGGTAACCATATATGGGAAACATATATGATATAACCATCCATATAACCATCTATATATATAGGGAACGATAACCTTAGCTTTCTATAAAACTGATAAAACTGATATAACCATCTATATAACCTTAACTATCTAGGGGGAAACATTTTTCGGATATCTAGGGGGACATATAAAGGATATCAACTTAACCATCTAAGAAACTATATATAGGGAAACATAAAGGATATCAACTTAGCTATCTAGGGGGCATATAAGATAATCATTGAAATATAAAAGATAATCATTGGAAATTAGTGTGTGCGTGTATGTGTATATATACATATATATATATATATATGTATATGGAGGTTTCCAAGCTGTATATATGGAGGTTTCCTACAATGGGGGTACCCCCTGGCATCATCAATTTTTGGATTTTCCCTTAGCCACCCACTTGGGGTTACCCCATTTGTGAAAACCTCATATGGGAACATATAGGATAATCATTTGGTTGGTGGTAAAATGTGTTAAACAACCCCTCTGAAAAATATGAGTTCGTCAGTTGGGATGATGAAATTCCCAATATATGCAAAAATAGAATTCATTTTGCAAACCACCAACCAGTTATCTATGGAATAAGAAACGGTGATTAACATGGGTCATGAGTACAGTTACAGCCCGAAATACCAGTTTTGATTTTTTTTTGATACATAACCAACTAGTTACAGGAGTCATAATCGCATGGCCAATAACTGCTAAGGGCCATAACAGATGATGGAAAACAAATGGGATAATCATGGATGAACATTAATATGGAACATGTAGCCATCATATGATCTTTACCATGAAGAAAGAGAGACTTCGCAGGAAACAACACAAAGAACATGGCGGCTTTAAGATGCTTTCAGGTATAGCATAAATCCCTAATTTTTTTGTAAAAACAAAGTCTCTAAGATCGGGTTTTGTGGCATTAAGTCACATGGCGATATGTGGTAAACAAGAAACTATTCAGATGATCGAGTGGAAAGTCGTGGTCGGACCCTGCGAGAGATGGAATGAATTTAATGCGGTTAAAACAATAATAAATTACCCATTTGGGAATGGTAAACGCAGCACCTAAAAAAAGGTGATGACTGGGGAACGGTTTATTATTGTTTTAACATGTTTTAACCACATTACACTAAGAAATGACCTGTCTGAAGATTGGAGCCAAAAGACAGAGCGAGAAAGACATTGAAATTGAAACATGCGCGCTCTGCATGCAGCTCACGGAACTTCACACTGCGATGGCTCTGTCGAAACATGAGGCCCAAGACCCAATTAAATACCCTTTGGCAGGCTATCTGTCACTAAAAACCGCTTACCCGGCCTAAAATCCACCATTTTCCAGCTGGGTAAATCAACTATGTCTACAGGCCATGGCTTCAATAGCCATATATGTATGTTTAACAATTTATATTGAATTTACCCATTACAAATGGCAATTTTCAGTAGATTTTTTGACATAACCAGAGGGTAAATCATCATGCAGAAGTGTTTCATCGAACTGAATGGATCCGAGGTCCAGTGAAGTCGCCAATTATTAGTGTCCTCCACATGTGCCCGAATAAGGATCCCTTTGCGCATGAAAATACCACCATCTTGTATATACCATGATATTAGAGGTACCATTAAATTACCGCAGTAAATGGTCACGTAGTTAAACATTAATCAATATGGTTGCCATATGAGTTTGGTCAGCTAGGAACTTCCTACTAGTACCATGAGTTAGCAACTAAATTATTGCCATTCAATGTCCGCATTAAAATGATGTCCTACAAGGTGATGCCCTCTAGATAGCTAAGTTGGTTTATAACTCCAAAAACTATGGTTTATAGGTGATATATCTATAGTTAATGGGATTATAAACAAACTTACAACTTCGGGGTACCACCTTGCAGGATTGTATATATACATACACACATTGAGTGTGAATATTTTCATGGGATAACCATGGGATTCAACAAATACAAGGTGGTGCCCCATAATTAGCAAAGATTGTTTATTAATGATCATAACTTAGAACTCCAGAAACTTGTGTTTTTGACATATAAATATATATATATGATGATATGATTATATGATGTAGGTGATGTAAAGGATGTAGGGATATAGATGATTATGTAGGTCATGTATGCGTTGTAGATGATGTATGTCATGTAGATGATGTTGATGGAAAACGTTTGTGTAGGTATTCTAAATGGTGTATATATGTGAGAAAGATGATGATGATGATGATGATGGTGATGATGACGATGATAATGAGGATGGTGATGATGCTGATGATGCTAATGATGAAGATGATGATAATGATGATGATGATGATGGTGATGGTGATGATGATAATAAAGTGATTGTGTAAAGAAAATGGTGCAGAAGGTGTGATGATGTGGGTGATGTAGAGGATGTAGTGATGTAGATGATGATGTAGGTACTGTATGTGTTGTAGACGAGGCATGTTATATAGATTAGGTTGATGGAAAAATGTGTAGGTGGTGTAGGCAATGTCGGTGGGACAGATGTAGGGAATGATGATGATGATGGTGATGATGATGATGGTGATGGTGTAGATGTAGATGTAGATGTAGAGAAGATGGTGTAGTAGATGGTAAAGAAGATGTAGGTGATGTACAGGACATAAGAGATGTGGATGATGTATGTCAGGTAGATGAAAAAATAATGAAATTGACAGCAGTTCTTTGGGAAAAACCTTTCGTACGAATTTCGGCAATATTGGCCCTTCAGCTGCCAAAGTATTGCAAACGCTTTTGTGCCTTGCACGCCCGACCTCTAGAGTAAGAAGGGCTGGGCAATACATATGTTCACCCATTGCGTGTTTGGTAACTGTTTGGGATTATTTTATTGTCCAATGAGTCCAATGAATTAAATTCCAAGCCTCTTCACAAGAATAACATCCGGGTTTGTTGACGTGAAATATAATCATGAATATTCGCGGCTTATCTTCTTTTTCCCTATTCAGTTATCAAAAATGTCAAATTACTCCACAATGAACTTCTGGCTTCTCTCAGGAGGCTTCTTGAGAACCGAGCATCTCAAGAGGATTACATTTTGTCACTGTTAAATTTCAGCCAGCTGTGCGGCGAACATCAACATAATTCTTCTTCACATTTCTTCTTATTTAACTGCTACAGCCAGTCCCAAATCCATTGCGACACACGGAAGTTGTGCCTGAATTTTCATTATTTCAACGGACAAGTGGTAGTAAATGCAAATATGAAATTATTTGTTCTGTCTGTACAATGCAAATAATGTAGGTCAGAACCTTTTTTAAAACAAATGTGTAAGTATTTTTCTGGACTGCGCAATGTCAGCCAATGATTGTTTACACAATATACATAAACACGGCACGCGTTTCTGTACAAGGACGCTTTGTGCTTCCAACACCCTGACCGCCTTTTAGCCCGGAGGGGGGGTGAGAAAAAGGCACGTATTCTGGACAACAAACCAATATTTGATTCAAACATGTAAACCGCCGCCTTTGGCATTTTTCTCAGCCGTGATCTTGTGTAGGTCCAAATGGTTTCACTGAGCTGAGCAGTTTGGATCTTTCCTTGTAAGAGCCAGTCACACTACTAAATTAATGCGGTTAGTTAATCAATATAAAATTGAATTAAGATCATTGAAAAATAATTTAATTATAGTAATTGAAATTCATATCTTTTAACAATTAAGTATAGTTTATGTGTAAATTAAGACTATTATTATTATATTGAGTTGATTTAATAATTAACACTTAGAGAAATGAAGTATTACTATTAGTTATCAACATGTATTATTAAATGTGGTGGTATGGGTTGGTGGTTTGATATTTATTGTTGAAAATAAATGCAAAGCTGATTGTTCTTCAAGCCCAAGGCTTGTCCCGTTCAGCATCCCGCCTTGTCGACCTGCAGGTGGCTTGCACCGTGATCTTGTGCAGGAGCAGATTCACTTGTCAGTGCGGTCAGCGGGTGTTTCTGTACAAGGATGCTTTGTGCGTCCAACTTCCACTGACCGCCTTTTAGCCCGGAGCGGGGTGAGAAAAAGTCCCAGAACTCACTTTGCAGCATTTAACTCAACATTTCTTTTGGATCAGTATCACATCCTACCTAATAAGGTCACAAAATCCCAATGCCTAATGGGGCCAGCGGGTGTTTTTGTACAAGGACGCTTTGTGCGTCCAACACCCGCTGACCCCCTTTTGCAGAGGGGGGGGGCAGCTCTGTTAGCTCTCACAGTGGGGCCAGCGGGTAAGCTTGTGCAAGGACGATATACGTCCAATACCCGCTGTTCTGTAGCCTGTCGTTTGTTAATTACAATTGTTTTGTAGCAGATCTCAAGGACGCTATCTATTTGGCGCTTGGCGTGTTGAAGACTGCTCTGCTAGGTTTGAGTTTGTATGAAGAGAAGTGCGTACATAATTACATGTTCGTTTCTTTTTTTAACTTGTGGCTTCATGCAATCATTTGCCTACATGTGGAGCCGTTTGAATCATGGAGCAAATCAAGTGGAAATGTCTGTTGCAGTTTGGCTTGGTATGAACAGAATATCACAGAAAACGACCCATTGTTTTCAAATAGCCCCAAATAGATCCTAGTTGGTTTATATATAGCTCCATATAGTTCCCAGCTTGTTTATATTATTCATCCTTGCGCGAAATCCTTGCGCCATCCTTGCGCGACCACAATGGGAGCTTGCGCGCGGTCAATTTTTCAAACGGAGCTTGCGCGACCTTGCGCGAAGATGAAGTCCTGAGTTTTCGTGCACTTTTGCTTGCGCGATGTAGGCGCGAAGCTGTTTTCGGACTTGGTTTTCTAGGCTTCTCAGATTCTCGGCTCCTTGGCTCGTTCGGTGGTTTCTCGGCTTCTCGACTTCTCGGCTTGTTCGATGGCTTCTCGACTTCTAGGCTCGACTCAGCGCAGTTCCTATTTTGCCAGCAGTCTAGTCCCTGATGGCCTCCAGTGAGTGTATCG